TAAACCCAGCCCAAGATGACGCTTTTTTTATTAAAAAAAAAGGATTTTGCAATAAATTGACGTGGATGCGTTTTCTGCTTTATTAAAGTACAATTAGTACAGTGCGAATCAAATCAATGTTCTCTAGAAACGTTAACATCGTTTTCAAAGGACGTACACCAGCGCCATAACGTCAACACTTTAAAACAAGGTATTTGTTATTCATATACACCATCACCATCAATTTGACACTTTAAAGAAGTTATGTTTTTCATATTTAAATATGGAGCTAAACTGTTGTTCCTTGATGCACTTCTTTTTCCAATGGACCCCATAACTAAAACGCATAAAAACCGGAAATCGCAATATTTTATTCTTAACATGTTACATCGCTGACGAATCAGAGGGAAACCATAGTAGTGCGGTCCTGCGGAAGCAAAGCTCATTTAGATAATTGTTTACATTTTCAAACCAACCGTGCGATATCGACTGCAAATCGATTTCTGTTAACGATTCGACGGATAAACGATTTCAAAAAGAAATCAAATCGCAATTAGGAACCATAGTTAATAAAGTGACGTCACTAATTAAATGTCGATTCTCCAAACAAATCAGAATATCAGAAGTTTCGACGTTCAATGGAGGCGACACGATTGTTCTTAATCGTTATGCAAAAGTAATGACGAAATTTGAAAGCATCTTACGTGAGTTTTTTTCGCAGTACCTGCTTAATCAAACGCTATTACCGGAAGGGTGGGGTTTTTTATGACGCGTTCCAAGAAAGTGGCTTGCCCGGGGAACTCCATCACAATCTATTAAATATACTAGGTGTCCCAAAAGTTGACCGTTGTTGTTTATTTCAGTTTGAATGGAACGTTGAAGTAATAAAAATACAACCAACGAATGTCATTGGTTTCTCATTGACTATCTTACACAAACATTTCGTTAAGAAGTCGCGTGGCCAACAAATCGAATTTATATACAAAGACCTATTAAATATAAATTTTGAGTAAACTTAGAATATTATTTTGAATAAATATTAAAATGCCTAACTATGTTTGGAGATATAGATATACAATATACAAGATTATACAATGGAATGATTTATTAAACAAACTCGTAACTAAAGTTCCACTTATAAAACTTGTTGCGCGACATGTTATTAAATGTCAGTGTCAAATCCACCAACAATGCTTTTTATTACATTTATATTTGAAATCAGTTGATATAAGTTGATAAATTTCTTCCAACACTCGTACCAAAGCAAACTCGTGATCGAAGTTGCGTTTATCAAATCAGTTGCTTAATAATACTATTAGCCCCACATTAACAATTTCTCCCGACTTGTTGGATCGCGACCATCGATTAATGTAGTGAAATTTTCATTTTCATTTACTAAAATTGACTTTGGACAATTAATGCAACCAAAAACAATTTACGTTAACGTTCTCGACTTAAAAGCAGTTAAAATGTGTCGGTGATTAATCGTCATTACACTCTGTCACACAATTGAAATTTACTGCAACAGCGTGATAGTCTCGAAACCATGGCCGGTCTACGCACGAGCTAATAAAATTTTGCTTTTTGGTTCACAAATTGGAAATATTTTGTCGAATTTTTTGTTGTTAGTGTTATTGAATCTCGAAGGGACAACAAAAAATGCGGAAAGCGGTGTGCCATTGAACGCGGTATTTCACAAAAAGTCCCGCGTAGACCGTGAAAAGTTAATTGTATTGTTCGTTGATAAATTCAAGGCGTTCCTGGTAGGTTGCTAGCTACACGGTGATTAGAAAACGATAACGCTACGTCACGAAAACTTTCGCTCTCCCGACATTTATTTCAAATCAGGCAATTGAAATTTACCGACTATTTATTAATTTATTATTCGTAAACATACAATTATCGTATTAGATAGGCAATATTTTGTTAGAGGATCAAACGTGGCTTAGACTTAAGTTAAAGTCGAATTGTACTCAACAGATTTCTATCATAAAGCGATTTTTTTTATCAATGTTTGCAACTGGAATGCCCATTTTATAACCACAGTATTAAAGAAACTTATTCTGTACTTTTTCAACTGAGTTAAGTTGTTTGTTCATACAAAGGAGACCAGACTTGTGTTCGGAACCGAGTAAACTTTCTTTTAACGTTATTTCCCAAATGTAACTGCTAAAGGTCACACTTTCGTTAAAATTGATGCAGACGTCTCGAACTTTAGTATTGTACGTTATGTTCGAATTATTCATGAAATAGTTTGGCTTATTTTTTTTTTGACCCTGTGAAGACGATATTAGACGGCTGGGAAAAAATAAAAAATGAAAGATTGACAGATAACAGCATAGGCAGCGCTTCTATACAACAAATGGCTGTATGAGGACGGCCGATAAATATTATCTACTTTGACCGGACTACAAAAGAAACGCGATGCGGACTTTGGACCGTCGCATTTACACCGGACTTTACAACATTTAGATATAAGCGCATAACCTTTAAGATTGTTTAGTATGTGTTTATTATTAAGCGAAATTGTTTTCGCTTTTCTGACAATATTACTTACGTATCGACCCCTACCGCCACCAACGACGGCATCCGATTGCTAAAAATGTTTATGATTAAAACAGGCAAAATGGAGCGTATATTGCGTTGAATGTACAAACTTCGACGTCCTCGTCATAAAAAAAACAAATCTGGACTAATCTACTTTAAAAAATTACAATTCCGCAGCAATTTTATCATTTCTTAATCCAGGCATAATTTGGGTCATAAGTCATTAAAGAGCACTCCATAGATTCCTTTCGAGGTTCCCTTCATATGCTGATGCCAAAAAATATTCTAAAACTCTGCTACATCCGATGTTTACCAAAGTTGGTTACACCATCAAGGCAAAAAAGACAAAAACAAATAAAAAATAAAATTGTAATGTTGCTAAGGACTCGAACCAATCCATAGACAGTATAATCGACAATGGTTAATTGTATATTATGCAGCGCAGTTGACCAAACTAAACTTTGTCTACAACCGTTCGAGACCGTTTTCGTTTAACAAGAATACGGTAATATCCCCGAAATGTCCAAAGCCGCTCGGATCCGTGGGAAACGAAACTGACGTCGTATAATGACACTTTCCGCACGCTAGATGGGTGCATAATTATTCTAAACCTAATTTCAAATTGCTACAGCAACATTTCCATCTCTCCTAATGTTGCTTTTGAAAAATCAAACGTGCTTGGCAAAGGTAGGTCCTAGGGGAGCCCCATCGATCAGGCTCGAAAAAAATTTGTTTCCTTTGTTCGTTCTCCATAGACACGTCAACAGTTGGCTGTAACTTTCGAGTTGTTTTGTATTTACCGACTTCAGATTCGACAGGGAAGTAGAAGTCCACGCCCACATTCAAACTATTGAAGTTTGGTACAATTAAATCTGGCGAAGTATTTATTGAAAATTTTGAAAATTTTTTTTGGGATCTTTTAGCTTCGAGAAAAAAAAACATTTTCTCGAAAACTATAAATCCGATCGGCAAAATTCTTTAACTAAGAGATATGGTTTTTCACTTATGGACAAAATTCAAATGTCCATGAAAATTGTTTTTTTTCTGGAGTAAATTATTAGCTATTAATTGTCAAATATTGCTTTATATATTACTGTAGGTCGCGTTGAGAACTACAATTTTTGAAACATAAGATTTTGTATTGGCAGTAACGTAAACGTTTATATGTCCTCTCGCGAGTACACTGTGCACGGACTATTATTTTATCTACTTATCTATCTACTCCGATTTTTTTATATTGGATTTTTTTTCAATGTTTTATTATTATTATTATTATTATAATCACTACCATTATTATTAAATTAATTCATACACAATATAAAAACTTACATCCTATAATGTTGTAGTGGTACCGTTCGAAGCAGTCACCAATGTGTAGTCAAGGCTTACGGGTGCAAGTGTCGCAAATATTCCTAGTTTCCCGCCTGCTGCCTTCTATTTTACGGTTAGAACATACCACACAGTCTTTTTTCTTTCCATCATTTTGGCGTAAAATATGTAATTCATCATTTAGCCGCTCTTGTGTATCTACAGATCATGATCTACCAGAAATTTTGGACAACTGCCGAAAGTTTTTCGTCATCTCGTCAATCAATTCCCGAAGAAACTTGTCATTGGTTTTTTCTTTTGGCCCCGTTGTGAAATTTTATATAATAAATATGCATCGACACTAGACATTTCGAGTCCCCAGAAAAATAACTTTCGCCACCATTTTAAACACTTCCTCAGGAAACAGTAGGATAGATATGATAGAATCAGGTATAAATTTGCGGTTGATTTGAATAGTATCTGTCAAATGAACATTTAGTATTAACAATTCTTCTGCAAGTGGCAAACTCGTATAGTATTATCCTGGGTTAGTGTCTAATATTTTTTGACGCAGATTTAACACTACCCTTGTGCTTACAGATAAATCAGGTCTCGTGTGTTCTTGAATATTTAGAAATATAAAGACAATGTCTGGGGTAAATAGAGCTCCAGCTGAAAATCTAGATAACGGTGGCGATCATTAATCTGATTGTAATGAATGAGAAATCATCTTTGGAAGGAGAAAAGTAGGGTCAATCGTAATTGCTCATCACCTTTCAGTTTTAAAACTGATTTCTAGAAATAAAATCAATGTGAATATGATTTCTTTTCAATCATATCTAGCGCTCCATTCTTGGTCAACATAAATTCATATTGTTATGTTGGCAAACTATGAATTCTTACATTCCAATAAAAGAGTGACATGTCCATTACACATAGCGCGTGTTCAAAGCTGATACCTGCCAACCCTGTCATCTACAGATGCAGACTTGTTTTTATCTCCTAAACTTATCGTCCAAAGAAGATTTCATTGAAATTTAGACCAAAATTTTTCTGCGCCAACTTTTCACGAAATCTAAAGCAGGGAGGTTGGTACGTGGTTTTGGTCCATCACCCGCTGCTAGTACTTCAGTAACGTTATATCGACGCAAGCTTAATACACTTACCTAAAATGGCTTTTTTGTGGTGCAAAAGCTCGTGGTAACTGTTAGCCAAGAGTTCCGATGGGTTGGTAGGGGTGAAACGGCCTAACCTAACTAAGCGCTCGCAGGTTTTCATCAGGTGAAGGGAAAATTCGCCGGGATCGATGCCGTAAGCTCGCCAACCTCCCACCCCGTCCGCCACGCCTGCAAAATGTCCAATTACTATCCAGTTAATTAACTAACGTGAGCTACCAATGCTTTTACACTAATGACTATAAGACAAAACTTCATAACGATATCTTTGAAAATATAAAGTGCCATGAAATTAACAAAACTCATAAACAAATAATCGCGGCAGACCCTCGGAGCAGAAATATCATAATCTTCAAAATTAAAAACGCAATTACGATTAAAACGCTGATAAGAATGTGTGCGAATACCAACAGGTTAAAAAAAATGTTTTGATTTTGAAATGAGGTCAGTAGTACTAAGACAAATGCCAACCAAATAACTGATATTTCTCAAGTAAATAGGTATTATTATGGTAAAAATAGCATCTACTGTCGCAAAGGTCTAGACAATCGTTTTTGGTTTTATTTTATCTTGAAATATTAGTGTTCCTAGAAATAGGTCCCCTGCAGCTGTTAATATCGTTTAAATCGTCAATACTTTTCAAGATTATTTCCAGCTGTACCCAATAATATTTACTTGCTAGTTTAGAATTTTTAATATTTAACGAAACTCGTATAGTTTTAGGTTAGTTAACTTTTAATCGAGAAAGGCTACTAATGAAAACAATTATGCAAACGTTAGGATACATATTTATTATTTTGGAAAATAAAAAAACGCAAGAGAGAGCATAGTTGATGGAAAATTTCAATAGATTCGCCCAAGAACTGTCTTAATAATTAAAGTTTGCAGTTGACTTCTTGTATTGGCAAAACATCTGTTACTTGTGAAGGAAACGGTCACCAATTTTTACATTTTACATTGACAGAACCGTGGGTTCAACTTAGGGATGAAATTTTTACTCAGTTTGTGTGAATCACGAGTTATAATCAAGAAAGCAAACTTAGCACAAGCACGTGATTCCGCACTCCCAAAATGTTACATCCGACCGTACACTCAAATGGAAATAATACTAAAATCCCCTTCGTATAATAATATAAACGCAAAACGGCAAAACGCATTTCTTAAAGTGAGGTTATGTAACGAAGCCATTAAAAGTAGCTTACCCATAACCTCGGCCGATTTATATTTCGCCATAAAGTAGGCATCGTCTCCGAATTGCCCCCTAACCAGTCTTTGAATCTTTTTGTCCTTTGAAAATCCGCAAACAGCGGACACAAGGTAAGGTTCAGCTTTGCGCTGAAGGTTCGGGTCGGTAGCGGTGGAAAAATTTTGAATTCCATTTAGAATAGCCCTAGACAGCAGTCGTCCGGTAACGAATAAAGAGTGCATTATATTCTAACACTTAAATGGGCTTTAAATCACATAATATTAGAATTGCAACGCGTGGAGTATTCGACGCGGTTTCACAGCACGATGGGGGCACTTCGCAACATTTTCTTTCAAGGGCGGACTTGCAGTACGAAACCAAGCACAAACATCAAACCCAAACACTACCACACGCGACCGGAACTAATCACACACGCACTCGTTCCGATCTGCTTTTCGTCGAAGGCGACTGTCAGCTGTTTACCGAACTTTAAGAAATACGACGTTGCCGTTATTTCCATATATAATGGAATGAACCAGAACAAGATTATTATTTCTATGGATATTTGAAGTTGAAAACGCTGCATAGGTCGCAACCTTTGCTGAAAGGAATAAATTATAAACACATGATTATATCAGAAATGTGACGTCATCGAGGTCAAATGATTGAGAACAATGTTCTAAAAACGAAAAATATTGTAGCTTTTTCTATTCGGTTATTGTGGAACAAAAGCCCAAACGTCACTTTGGAACTATTAATTTTTCATTTGATGTGGTGGACAATTTAATCAATTTGGCAATGATGCGATGAAATAGAAAGAACTTATTATCCGATGGTCTGCCATCTATGAGAACTTTGGTTAAACCACAATGCCACATAGTAGAGCCCTACGAAAATTTGTCGCGGTGCTGTGAGTTTTTATGCGTAGGTGATGCTAGCATCGCCTTGAAAGTATGTATGCGAACTATTTTCGTTTTGACAAACTTTGTAGATGGTTCAACAGACAATATCTGGAACATTCATCTAAGGAAAAAATGAGAGCAAAAATTGAATAGTGTAATGTTAAACTGCAAAAAATCAATAATTCCATACATGTAGCAGTTTCAATGTAAAAATTATTTGAGTTTTTGAGCAACACAAATGAGTAATGGCAAAAGCCAAATATTTTATTTTTTCATTTTGTAATACATTCTTAGGCCGTTAATAACTGATTAATGAATGATAAATGATTTCACCAATATTACTTTGTATTAAATAATCACTAATTTCCCCTTTCTACATAAAGGTCAAACTCGACCCCTTCCATTGTGATCACGGAAACTCTGGGAAATACAAGGGTGCATGGTTAAATTGACACAAATATACTAATTTCAGGGCTCAGCGATATGACAAATTTGCACAAACGGAGATATTTCAGAAGAATCTAAGATTCGTTTCGTTTATATTTTTTCTGAAGTTATGTTATAATAATAATAAAATCAAATCATAATCAAATTTTGGCTTATGGTACCATATTTTGATTTTTAATCCTGAAAATAAACATGTAGGCGATAGTGGAGTTGGAAGAAAATGAGGAAGGGATGAATTGGATTTAGAACATTAAATTAATAAATTACATTAATGCATATGCATGCATTAAATTAATAATTGACGTGAGTAAATAAAACATTTTTATAGTTATATTGTATTTTAATTTAAAAAGATATTTCTTGCATGGACATAAATACACAATTTTTAAAATCCTTTCTTTAAAAATTGATGTATTTTATTTAGCTCATTAACAAGAAACATTGTTATGAGTTACTATAATTATTGAAATATGTATATAAAGTTTACTAAGTATGTGCACTAAATGTTATAAGAAGTAAAAATTGAACCATCTTAAAAAAACCGAATAACGGAACAAACAATTTCACGTTATTGATTTAAGTTTCACAATAGTCCCTTAATTTGATATCAAAAAATGAAAGTGCTGCTTCAAAGCAATAATTTTACACGGAGATATTTCAGTTTTGATTAAGCTTTGTCTCAAGAAAAATCAATTAATTGCAAAATTCGTCAATTTACATTCTTCGAAAAAACTCTCGCGTCAAATCTTCCATTACATGAAACAATTGAGGATTATTACTCTTGCACAATATTGTTTCGTCTCTTCATCCAATGATAATTGTATGTGCTTTTGGCTCAAAATTTGGTGTGATGTCTCTTGCACCAAGGGCTAACGAAATCGCATATTTGCAGTCAAAGAATTGTTTTTCTCTGAAGCTAAATGAGTTTTCTCTTTACGTCAAGAGCTTTCGCAGACCTATTTGAATGCGCGCAGCATTCATCGACTCCCTAAAGTCTGCCTTGTATCTCGGATTGACTTTGGGATATAAAATGGTTCGTTATTTCGCAGGTTAAATATAACCATAACGCATACCTATGTTTACAATTGTTATCCGTTGTTTAAATGACTTGCCCGCCTGCGTTTGTCTATTGTTAATAAACAGTAAAAAATAAACAGGTAGGAGCCTCCGTCGGCGTAATTAGTCGGTTTATTCAAATCACAAAGGGTTCTTCCGGTTCGAAATCGAATCGGCGTAACAACAAATCGGAAGTGGCGAGTGGGGAGCGGATAATAATATTGCGGCAACACTTTTATGTGAGTGTGTGTTGCCTCAATTGCCATCGAACACGGAATCGTTCCCTGAAACGCGATCATCAGTTCAATAGGTTCGGTAGTTCGCGTGTGAACAGAATTAAAAAAAAAAAACGCTTGTCTCCCGCGTCGATGGACATTAAATTTAAATTGGTGGTCAAAATTCAAAATTACGAAACGAACGAATAATTTGTTAAGCTGGCCCCCTCATTGTTTAAATTAATTTCTGTGAAGTGAGATCTAGAATCTGTACTTTCAGGTGTTTAGAATAATGTGATATTGTATTTAACTGAAATATTTGCATTTATTGCATCAGTGATTTAAGATATGAGGGAGTTAGCGATTGCTCTATCCGCGCCGCGACACAAATGATCTATCGTGACTCTCTCCATCAAAAAGTCAATATTTCTTTTTTCGTTCCAAATTTCGTATACCTACATGAAGCTCTAAAACATGATTCGCTTTTTTGAACTAAGTTGATGCTGACGTCTTTAGCCACTTCTCTAATAGTGATTCGACCATTTTTCAACACTTCTTCAACGCGTTCATCAATTATTGAAGTGCCGTGGAATCCAGAGCGAGGTTCTTCTCGGCCATTTTGGAACAACTTGTACCACTTATAAACATTTTTTTTGCGCAAAAGTAGATTCACCATATGCTGCTGTCAAGTGTTTTGTAGCACTGTATTCCATTTTTTACACAAAATTTTATACAAATTTTTTATTCCATTCTCTTGGCAGCAGACAAAACACATAAAACAAGCCTAACGCTGCTGTCTCACAAAAAAAAGTAAACCTGCAAACTGGCTGAAACTGTGAACTTCTTGGTGCCAAAGTATAAGTGTCGGTTATCGCACAGTCAAGTCAAAAATTTTCTCATAATTTAATATTTTCAAGCGAGTGATGAGTGATTCTGGAAACAATTGACAAAACAATATTAGACAAAACCCACCATAGTTCAAAAACAACCCTAACATACCAAATGTATTTTAAATGATGATTTACAAAAAATTGAAAGATCAACTTGCTATTTTGATAATTTAAACTTCATCAATGTTACAAAAATATACATTTTGTAATTTATAATGTTCCTCACAACGGTACATATTACCTACATTTTGGGCATTATTTTAGTTCGATTACAAGTTAATACCCTTTACGCAAAGTATTAAAGCCTAAAATCACAATCATCAATTTGACTACCACTACCTACTAATAGTTTCCTCAATTATGTTTGCGAAATCTAAAGTCAAAGTAAAAGCCAGGTATTAAAAAAATCAAAAATATATAGGATATCCAATATAAAAAATTATTTGTTTTAAAAACATTATACTTAAAGCATTAAATTTTACTTGAAAAGGTGCTTTGGAATTATTTTCATGGAGACATAAATTTTTCCAAAAAATTGGAATATCCATTCGCTGTTTTAACCATTATGTTTTTTTTTGTGAATATTTGAGGAGTTAAACCCCAGAAATTTCATTCTTTTCAACTGCGTGTGAATTTTATCCATTTGAACAAAATAAATGAAAATCGCGAGGTTTAAAAGAAAATATTCGATTTTTTTTTATAGGGGTGCTGTGGCGTCGTCGTCAAGACCAAAAAAATCCAAAAATCAATTTAAAAAAATTAGACACGAACGCAGGCCGGTCCGCTCATAAAGTGGCCATCGCATTATTTACTATAACTGCGACTAACTCGAATTCAATAACGCGAGTAATTAAATAACAGGCGAACGGTTCGTGAAGCCTGCCGACATATTGTTTAAAAAAAATGCTCGTCAACAACAAACGCGACCGATCCAACAAGAACGTGAAGTGGAAGAAGCTGGACGAAGTTGTGCTTGGCAACGCGAAGCTGAGATTTTGCCCGGATCAGTTGCAGAATTTGAATTATATTTTCAACAAGAAGCTCGAACGGGACACTGACAAATCTTTCGGTAAGTTATGCAAATATTGAGGGACAAGAATTTATAGGCGAATCAAACTCTCTAAAATGGAATTTTGCTCCTATCAACATAACTGCAGGCGCGGGCTGTGTCATCCAGGTTCTGTTCATTTGTTCTGTTGATTTATCAATGATAAGCAATGACGACGTTAAACTCTTCTTATCATTTAAAGTATATGTGATCGAGGCCGCCTAAATATGGAGTAAAAAATACGTTGTCTTCTTATTTAAAAAAAAGTGCAATGTCATTACTCCAAATAATTCCATCTCTGTGACGCTAGACCAGATATAATTCGTGGTCTTAGTGAAACGTTTCATGAAGAATATTCACCCTCACGTGTACCTGATTTAAGACTTGTTTGTCGAATTGGTTGCGGCAGACATTTTGAATCTTCTGTCTCGATTTGACCCTGCTTACTTTTATACTTTTATGTTGAATTATGGGTATGGCTCGTCGTGTAGTCTATGGCATATACGAGGTGTGTTCAAAAAGTAAGGCGACTTTTAAGTTTTATCAAAAAGTATTTTATTTATTTACCAAAATTAATGTTGCCCCCCTCAATTCAATCCCCACAATTGCACCTTCTGGTATAGCTTTGAGTTTTTCCAGCGATATTTTATTTATCTCCTCAATAGTTCCAAACCTCCTTCCTTACATGGTTTTTTTTTTGAGTTTCCGGTGAATATGGTGACTGGGCATGGTTGTGGTTTGGTTTTTGGACAAAAAATTGGAAATGATGAGTGAGCAGGAGCGTAATGGTGATACAAAATTTATAAATAGTTTTCCCACAGTTCCGGACTTCAAGGTAATACTCTTTATTGACCGTACGACCTTGTGGTAAGAACTCTAATCAAATAAAACAGTATGCAAAACCACGAGCACGAGCTAATAGAGATGTTGACATCATCAGCCACTTCTGTGATAGTGATTCGACGATTTTTAAGAACCATTTGTTTCATTTCTTCAACGCTTTCATCAGTTATTGAAGTGTTGGGGTGTCCAGAGCGAGGTTTGTCACCGACATCTTCTCGGCCATCTTGGAACAACTTGTAGCACTTACAATATATAATAATATGCAACAAGTGTGGTAAACGGCATTTGACTCACGAGTTTATTTGACACGAGCGGAGCGAGTGTTTAATAAACGAGCGCATTTTTCCTACAATTCTTTAATTGTAAAATCTGTTCCACACTTCCATAATAAATCACCAAAAATTAATAACTTGCTTTTAACCGATCTAAAATCGATTGTTGCGAAAGGGCAAGTTTACTAATTGAATTAAAAAATGCTTTTAATAATCTTGGTCTTGGACAGTGAACAGTCCCAAGATCACCTTCACAGAGCCAGTGGCTCGAATGGTCAATTCACTATCAATATGGTTCACTAGGTTCTCATGACCACACTTCGTGTAGATCTCTGGGATAGATTTGCATAGATACAAATAATCGTACTCTATCGTTGTCGTCTCTACTGATTTTGAACTCATGCATATACCAGAGCAATTCTAATGGCAATGTTAATAAAATTATTCCTCAATTTATTTACAGTGAAACAATTTGAATTTGTTAGTTTTTTTTTAAATGTTGCGTCACCCTTTCCACGTCCACATTCCTTTTATTGATTATAATTGTTAAACTCTGATTTTGGGCCAACTGAAACTGGTTATGTTTAGATATCAATTAATTAGTCATTATATGACTCGAACAGCATTTAATATTAAAACTATGTGTAAAGTATTTTGACATTTTCTTTTAAATCCGGTATCGCAGGGTGGAGTAAGGCGGCTCCCCTGGCCACCTCAAAAATTAACCCCTTTTTTTTGTTCTTTTCTTCTAATAATTATTAAAAAAAAATTAAGCTTCCCCAAAATTTTGGTAAATTTAGTTAAAGTTGGTCAAAAATAAATCAACTTGATGTTTAAAAGTCACAAAAAATAATAAAAAGCTTACATTTGAAATAAAAAAATATCGTAATTTCATTGTGAAAATTACAGATACCTCTCTACGATAGTCTAAAATATCTTTGATAAGGCAGTTCCTCTCATTGAAGATAACTGTTACAAATAACAAAACATTATGTAAATATTTAAATAATTCTTAAATATATACAAAATATCGCATTTCTCATCTTTCCCAACATTGAGTGACGTGTTTGTCAGAACAATGACTCCAAACACTTCCTTTTTTGTTAAGCCGCTAAGCTATTATCATATTAACGACTAATAAAAGTGTTTTGGATTACATTGTTTATCATTATACCGAACCAAATTATGATTGATTGTTTCTGTAAATTGTCGCAAACGACTGACATGTTTCAAAAGGAGACTCTTTTCTTTTAATTTCCAGAAAAATCTCTCCGACTGGCGAAATCAGTCACTGAGAGGTTGGTACAACGCCTTGCGTGTGGAGCAGGCATGATCGATGTCAGATTTAGCTCTAAATATTTGATCTGCAACGGTAGCATGCAAAACGAAGTGAGTATGAATCAATCGACGATGGGTGAGATGTTTAAAAATGCTTTAAATGGTTGGCAAGAATGGCAAGAATGACAAGAATTGAAAAAGAATGTAATGTATTAAATAAATACTTCTGTGGATTTGTTTTTATTTTGAAATTATGTACTTGAGATCTTTTACCTATATGACGAAAAACTCTGTAATAATATATAAACATTGATGTCCAATCTTCGAAAGGGTGTAAACAGAAATCAAATTTTGTTAATTACAGGACCTTTCTCATAACCTGTCATACACGTTAAGACTTGACGGTCTTTCGACACCCACGTTGTACGAGAGTGACCCAACTCCCAAGTATGGAGTGATAGAGACGGATCGCGACTGTCCCGTAGGATATAGCAGGATCCGTCTCCAGTCCTCTACGTTAAAATCCTGGAAGGAGTACACAAACTCTGGCGGATATTTGAGGAGGTTGGAATTTTTTTGCTCCTGCATACTGTTTTGATATTGCACCATTTTAGAGATAAAGTCCAAGCAAGGCTGGTAGAACTTTTGGCCATGGCAGCCACCCAAGAAACCCCAAATTCGTTGTTGCAAGTAGACGAGTCTACCTACTGTGGAATACCTGGCAAAGTGGTAGACTCGTGTACTCTGCGATATATTCTAGACGTACCGTCTAAGCAACATGTTTATAATGGCCCTGGTAAGTGAGTGTTTTCTGGTTTTGACTTGCAAAATTCTTATTACATTCGCCAGTTGCCTTTTCGCTATAAGCAAGTGCAAATGCAATGCATTGAATTTTTCTAAGTTTCCTCGTATTATTTAAATTTAGTGGTTTTTGGAAAGTTAAGAGAGCATTTAAGGTGCTTTAATAAGATGGTTATAACTTATTGTTGTAATTGTTAAATTTTGGAGAACCGTCAGTGATAACTTTATGAACATAAAAGCCTTACACAAACCACATGACAAAAGTGAGTAAACTTAGTAAATATGTACATACAACTGACTAATTCGTATACAAGTGCACTTTCTTCTTCTTGTTCCCGTACAGGGTTATTCATTATATTTTGACACACGGGGTTAATTTTGAAACAGAAAAAAGAGTGTAAATACAAAGGTTTGAAGATTTTTGCTCTATTATCTTATGCAAATGCCAGAAAAAAACAAATGATTATCGCAAACTGTCAAAATGACAACAACATCTTTTTTTTATAGGATGCTCTATATATTATTAGCCTAAATCGTAGATCATTTTTCCTGTTTATTGACATTTTATTTAGCAGTTTTTGAGATATTTCAGTTTAAAAATAATTATCATTCGATTTCTTTACAATAGCCATATTGTTTAAAAATGGTCTTGATAGCAACCATATTTTCTATGTTTGCAATTGTTTTAACAATGTTCTATTTTTGACAATTAATCAATACTAAAGATCTGCAGCGCAAGTTAAATAACTTAAGATATTTCAAATGGGTAGAAACAATAAGAATATCAATAATTAATGCTAAACATTTTCCACATAAGCTCCATTATTTTCTATGCAATATTTCCTTTCAATTTCCTTTTAATACACGATATGACAAAATCAGGGTTTTCTCTGTTTAGATCTTGTAAAACGGCATTAAGTATTTCTCTTATCACTTGTAAACTTTTTGGCCCTGTAATAATAAATTTTATTTTTTAAGTATCGATTCAGGTCGGGGCTGTTGGCCCCAGCTGAACGCGGGTGGGCGTGGATTCTCGCTGCAAGCACCGCCCATCGGGTCAGAGTGGGGGAAAGATTGGAGCGTTCCCGTCCCTACTTTAAGTTTCTACACCGATGCTAATAGATAAAAAATTCAGATTTGAGATTTTGACTAGCGATTTTGACATCGCCTTTTAGATGTTAAGTTATCTTCTTCTCTATGTACAGGGTTATTCATTATATTTTGACACTTACCTACACGGTTAATTTTCAAAGATAGACAAAAATGTGTAAATACAAAAGCTTGCAGATTTTTGCTCTAATATCTTATGCAGATGCCTGAAAAAACAAACGACGACCGCAAGCTGTCAAAACGACAGCATCATCATTTTTTAATAATGGAATGCACTATGTATTATTATATTACAAATAGATCTTTGCTTCCTGATTTTAAAAACATATAGTTTATTGACATTTCATTCAGCCATTTTTGAGATATTGTCTAAAAATGGTCAAGCCTCCCTTGTTAGCAACCATATTATATATTACCTATGTTTGCAATGGTTTTTAAAATTTTCTACTTTTGACATCTAATCAAGACTAAAGATCTGCGGCGTAAGTTAAATAAGATATTTCAAATGGGTTATACTGAGGAAGTAAAACGCCAAATAATAAAATTATATTATTCTAAGAATAAATAAATATATTAATAATTAATGCTAAACATTTTCCACAAAACTTCCATTATTTTCTATACATCGGGCAATATTTCCTTTCAATTTCCTATTAATACACGAGATGATAAAATCAGGGATTTCTCGTTTAGATCTTGTAAAACGATAAATTTTTCTCTTATCACTTGTACACTTTTACACCTATTATGATAAATTTTATTTAAGTATCCCCACAAACAAAATTCACAAGGATTCAGGTCGGGGTTGTTGACAGGCTATTTGATAGTTCTTTGGCTACCTATCCAATGTCTATATTTATTATTTAGATAATGGGTAACCGGTTGGACATTATGTGGAGGTGCGCCATCTTGATGCCAAATTTAATTTAAATAATTTCTAACTGGCACATTTTCTAACAACTCTTCTATTTCTCTTGCAGGGAAATTTAAATATCGTTGGCCATTCAAGGATCCTTTGTGTATAATTGGTCCGACCACCATATTGTTCCACATACCACACCATTTATTAACTGATGTCTGCCATTGGATTTTCACTGCCTGCATTTTGTGTGGACCAAAAATGTTTATTCTTCTTATTAAATACACCTGCTATTGTGAACGAAGCTTCATCCGTAAATATTATTTTGTTTAGAAAATTTCCATCTTCTTGAGATCTATATATTGCAGTGCAAAATTTGCGTTTTATGTTCATCGGTTAAATTTTGCATTGGAAGGAACTTATCCGGGTAAAACTTATGATATTTTAGCGATCGTTGAATGTTACTATAGGACTTTCCGGGATAATTTTTTAGCATCAGGTATAGAATATTCAGGATTTTCTAAAAATATAAAAATTAAGAAAGTAGTACTCAAAGTCATGATGTGATCGTAATAGTATAATTTAATTTGAAGTAAGATATTGAGGTCTTCGTCAAAATTTTTTTCTATTGTCCTGGTCTTCCGTGTGAAACTATTATGGTGCTCAAATTGTTTAGTTACATTTTTAATTGTATTTAATGAAAGAACTCTTATACCCGGATACATTTGTCGATATTCTCTTTTAACCCTTGCAACATTGTGCCCGTTTGAATAATATAATTTTAATATTTGGCGTCTTTCTTCCTCAATATAACCCATTTGAAATAACTTATGTTACGCACTCTTTGCGGTCTTGAGAATGTGTAGGTGAATTTATCTGCTCTTTCTATGTGAATCACGTCCAATGTTAACGTTGAACATATGTAGGTTTTTGGAGATCATCATAAATTTTGATTTGCTCTGCTCTCCTACCTTATCAGCGATCAAGATCATATCATGCCAGATCAGTCCTATAAGAGGGATGACAATAACAAATCTGTATGGTGTAGGAACTTTATTTGTGCCACTTGGTTCCAATGAGTGGTATATGCTTCTTGTCTATATAGCATCTTTTGAGGAGCTGCATTAATTTGAGGTGCAATTTTGGGCAAGTACTACTATCGTCTTGTACATAACCCTCTTATAATTGTAGATCGCTTACGTTTCTTCCACATTTTGCATACATTTTTTATCGAATGAGCAGTATAACACCATGATGTCATTAATTTAAATTATCAAAGTTAGGAGGTGTGAGAGATGAAATTTTCGTTAATTGTGTTTGAGGTGGCAACGTGCCGAGATTTCCAGACACGCGCGACTTTCGTTTGGCGATCGTGGATGAACCCAACGGTATCAAAATGAGGGTGGAGTTTTTGTCGCCAGCCTTATCGGATATAGCGTTAACGGTTCGAATATTGGTGGCCGTGGGAGTGGACGCTTGGCCGTCCACCAGCGATTTCCCTTCCAGGATACCATTGGGCCATCCAGACTGTTTGCTCTATTACAAATCCGCCCAAACAGTGAGGGAAAAACTTGTTAATAATAAAAATAAAATATTTTATTTGGATTGTTTAGGGTTTATATCTTGTGGGGTACGGCGTGCACTCGTCGGCTTGGCAGATGAGGGTACCAGCAGCGGAATACACCCTCCTGAATCATTATGGCGTAAACAGCGTCGTCAGAACCATTCTCGACATACTCTACGAAATTCTTGAAGATATTGACCGATCCAGAGGTCTGAGAAAACCCGTTAGTAATAGCGTATACTTGGTTATGGTTTCATGCCTCAAACGGGAGCAAAGTTGCGTTCAGCCATTCGCTACGTTAAAAAATAATCAAGATAAAAATATGCCGGAAACTTGAAAATTCTCAGTTTTGGTTGATTTAAGAAACTTGGGTAAAACTCTGTATTATCCAAATAGCTAATAGATAACCTAATTTGCATTTTGCGCGAACTTCTTAAACGGTCTTCTTGGTTGAAAGACAAATTTTAAACCTAACTTCCAGGAAATAAATTCAAAATAAATATTATTTATTTGTATTATTTATTTATTTATAATAGAACAACTCGTAAATGCTGTCTACCATAAACATTTATAAAGGACAATAGCATCTCTGTTATATATACTAAGTACAGCCAAATAATAACAAACAGGATTTGACGGGTGTATCATCGTATCATCAAAAGTCCAATTAAAATTTTAGTGTTTTTTTTTGGTACCTTTGTAGGTCATTTTTCGGTTACGGTTCGTTCTCACAGAGATTTTATCGTTTTATCAGTGGGTTTCAATGGCGTAACATCCTAATTAATGCGGTGGAAATTTTATAGTTACACTAAATTCATTTAATTTTTAAGTTGCATTGAATTTTTTAGCGCACTAGGTATCCATAATTCTCAAACTGCATAAAATAAAATTATGTGTTATTTCAGACGTTGCTTTTTATGTTATCCAGATATCGTACAAAATACTCAACAGATATATGCTTTTCACGATCTTGTTGGAAGAACTGGAGGAAAATTCCAAATCAACTTTCCAAGATTTGATCGCATGGTCGCCGCCGTATCTTTCGACGTTAGTCCTCAAAATGCTGGACAAGATTATCGGCAGACTACAATCGGAGTTCCAACCAAACTATTTTTTCAAATCGGCGAATTTATTGGTCAACCCGGGTCACTGGTGCGACGACGACTTCGTTCTAGAAGCTAATAACGTCAAAGGATACATGATACGGCTCTTTGACGAATCTCTAATGTCGAATAAAGGTAAAACCTTAAATACATACTCCGAATTCATATTTCATTATCGCGCAAAGTCTTGTATGCCTTGCAGCGAGTTGGAAATAAAATTAAACCTTATCACAAAAAAGCAAAGATCGAACTACAATTTCTGATTTGTTCCTTATCACCATTAGTATAGGGGTAACATTCACAACGTATATTCAAAATAATATTTATTTCCATGAAATTTGCTTTGGCTAACTCACTAAAAATCTTCAACAGCAGTGAAGATGAAATCAATGATGCAATGCAAAATTTTTGTGGCTGATATCCTTATTGCATTTAATTTTTACAGAAAAATTGAAAAAAAAAGTTTCTAAGCAATTTCATTTTAGAGATAGCATGAATACTAGATTATTTCCCCACTGAACGAAATGACATCATCATCAATTTTTGACGCTGAAATAGTCTTTGCGACTGACTGAACTTGACAGGATCCATTGAGTGTTATACCATGACCAGAAATATTGTATTTTTACGTATGCTAAATTCATTGAATTAGATGTGGTGCCAGTAAACCGTCAACAAAAATTGATGGAATTTTAGTGTGCTATCTAGAGCTAGCAAAATTTCACGAATGAAGGTTTTATCATAGCCTAATGTTTTTACAATTGTTTTTGTTATTAAAATCTCCAGATGATTAGGTAGATGGAATAGAATTATAATGGGTGTGATCTTAATTTTCATTAGTAATTATAGGTATAAGGCAAATGCCCCTTGCATTTTTTGAATCATTAAAGATCAGATGTTTTAAATTAACTTTGCCTACTGTTCATTACTCCAAAACCGCAGCATCTTATAAATTACCCTGCCGAGCAGACTCCTACCCGTAACCATCCGTCCTAGAAATTCATCTACCTACACTAACAAGCGGGATATTAGTATGTTTTTAATCTTTTTTACCCAGCAATTCTTGAAAGATGTATATAAAAAAAGTTAGTACAAAGTAACAATTTGGTATGTTCTATTTCATTGCATTTCTACATAGTATCATTATTAATATTCAAAATACTAAATATTATGATAATAAAGTATCAGTCACCATCGCTACTGGCGTTCACGATAAATATTTTCTTCTTTTATTACTCATTTTTCATAGTTAGTCCAGCCTTGTACTGATATTTTAGTTACCTCTTGCCGAATTACGTTTATGGTAATATCATTAAATTTTGGTAAATTGTTATTTCTTCTTTCAACTCAGACCAAATCATCTCAATCGGGTTAAATTTACAATGATATGGGGGCAATCTCAAGATTTTATATCGATTTTGTTGTGCTATCGAACCGCGAATATAATTTATAGTCCTAAAAAAAGACTGTGACAAATCGAAGAACTATATAGAAGACTCAAAAATGCAAGAAGAATGTTGTTAATCGACAGGACACAAGACAAAAATGAATATTTTCAAACCTACCTTTAAGATAAATAGAGTACAGGTACTTACCCTTACCCTTTGAACTATCCAGTGAAAACAGCCTCACAGGATCAAAGCTCGAGAATGAGGTACTTAAATACGTCCTTACTGGAAGGCACCACATTGAAGTGGCTCCGTAATATATACGAACATATTTAGATTAAAGTCTTAAGAACGATACATATCACCTGATGTTAAAATAAACGCTTTTACTTATTCGAATTTAAAGCGGTTCATTTAAGTTTCAAATAAAAATTTCAAGTTTCTATCAATATCAACATCTGCCGGGATAGATTTTATCACAGTCGGTCCTGCGAAGGTCTGCCGTTAAGGTACTGTAAAATACATAAAAAGTCAAAGCAGTAAATTCATAGTAAACGAAGAGCGGACATTTTCCTGCCGAAGTGGCATCTAGCTAATCTATATTGCAGGTAACAGGGAATTCAATAACCTGCTGTTATCTCAGGAAACCGAAATGGTACTGCTATATAAGTGGAAGGAGCTAATCGACGGGTTATTACCACCTTCAGGCACGAGGGGGCGTAGATTCTGTTTTGCAGGTATACAATTTAAATTTAATTAAGTTTAATTATTCATTCTATGATTTTATTTGTTGTTTTAATTTGCGGTTTCGATCGAACCTGAGAAAATTTTATTTTACAGGATCGAAAAGTAAACAACATATAGCACATACTCAGTATACAAATAGACAGCTGGAATATATAGCCCTTTTATTGCATAGTATGGTGAAGGTTAAACAAAGTATTCTGCAGGTAAACTTGAATTTAATTTGAACAGGCTCGGGATTAATTATGTATTTTCTAAATAGGCTGACCAGGATCTGAGCGCAGAGTCTGCGGTTTCCGTGGAGTTTGCGAAAGAGAATTACATAGAAGATATCATTTACATTCTAGTTAACTTAATGGATCAAGCCAAAGAACAGTATTTCCTCAAACAGTCTAATCCCACCCTGAGCAAAAACAAACTTAAAATTAAGCTAAATTTCACCCAATACACATCGAAGTTGGTGAATCAGATTAGAAAGGATAAGGAGCTTCAAGCGTTTCAGCCCGAGGACGATCTCAGTATGGTGAAAATAATTTTGAAATTGCTCTACAGGGCGATGGATCACAATAAAAAATGTCTCGGTCCGATAATGAGGCCGTATTTGAACAACATATTTACTACTTCGCATTCGTTATCATGTCACCTCGAGCAAATAAAAGAAAGGCTCAGGAACGACGAGATCGAAGCTATGGGTTTGTTTTCCGAACTGGTGAACCACGCTAAGATAACACCGGCTCAAGGGTTGATAGATTCCGTGAATAAAGAGTGGACATGGGCTAAAAATATGTTAAGTATGGTAAGCATCAAGCGAACCAAAACTAGCGTTGACTCTGAAGTTTAAGTTTGGATAATGTTTGTTCGTTCTAGTTAAACATTCTGTTGATCATATATATATTGCTAAATATGAACATTATGCAATATTTCCTCTAATATTTCTATTGATTAAGCGACCTACCATTCTGATAGATGAAGATGGCGCATATTGCGTATGTATTATGAGTTTTTAATATAGAAAACACTATGTTTGATGGTCGTTCTAATTAATTGATACTGGGGTGAGTCAGTCAATCATTAAATAAGATTAGTTGGAGCTACATGGTTTGTATAAATTGATGGATACTTACTCAAAACAGTCACACAAAAAATAGAATTTAACGATTTTCAGAGTTCCGTATCTTCAGACCAAATAAAGAATTCCAATCTGCGCATTATTCACTATCACTGGAATTGTGAGAGGATTTTTAAAATGATATGATTTTAACTGTTGGTTAACGTGACGTTGAATATCGTTTGAAATTTCAAGTAGAAGAAGATAGAAGATTTTCAATATCTTTATCAGTTTTTTTAACATTTTACCGGTTTTGCCATTTTGTGGGTGCGATTTTTGTTTGCATCAAATCCTGTCCAATCGTAATGGTATGTTACGGACCCAATATTTAGTTCCTAGTTGACTCACACGTTATATGATAATAGAAGGTCGGGGGCATTAGTGTTGGGTCGAGGTGTACCTCAAGGTTCTCTTCTCGAACCTTTATTCTTTGTTATCTTTACTTCAGATGTGATTGAATAGATTGAGTAACCCAATTATATGCAAGTTTCCCAAGATCTGACGCTGCTGTTAAAAAGAAGTTAAATAGAAGTTAAAACGGGCTAATGTTAAATCCAAATAAGTCGGTCATTATTTAATTCGGACCTTTTAAAGATTGGGCTAGTAAGCGGCTTGACATTTCAATCAATAATGTTAAGATACCGGTTGCTTCCGAATACAAAAACTTGGCTGTTATTTTTGATAATAAATTAATGTTCAAGGTTCATGTTTGTAAAATTATACAAACAGGTTATTGTAACTTAATGAACTTATACAAAAACAAACATATTCTTAACAGAAAAAAAAAACATTGTCTGAAGCATTGGTTTTGTGGAGTTGGCCACTAAACCTTAACTAAAATTACAAAAAGTGCAAAACTCAAAACCATGTTAGTGAAAAGCTGAAAGAATTACGCTGCTCAAAACTAAAGAGCTGGAATATTTGATGGAAAAAATTACAACCCGGAGTACTGTCCATAATCGTTGCACTCGTTTTAACATTCTTTATAAGATACCAGAAATTGTATGAGTTATATTTTTGTACTTTTGTTAAATGTAGATTAGCTTGTCAATTTTATTGCTATAATCATTGTCCTATTGTTTAAATTTTTGTTTTTGTCTATTTCAACAGTATTACTCTTTTCCCACGTTTACTGGTATTGTTAATGTATTGTTATTGTTAGCTCATACCTATTTATTTATTATATTTGTGGTAAAATCTGGCTTATTGTGAGTTAATTGAATATATTTGCTTACATGAAGCTTAAGTTAACAGCTCAGATGCCCTTTGTTGAGTGAAAAATAAAACCGTATTTATTTATTTATTTGTAATTGACGAATTGAGGACTCTGATTTGCGACCTGTACACTTTCTTCTAGGTAGAAAAAAACACCCTGAGGTTGGTGTTTGTTGCCGATCGAGGAAAGGTTTACAGGCACATTCTATCTTTACCGTCATACACCAAGACCGAAGGTGAGGAAATCACGGATAAAGGGAACAAAACGAGGCATGTTATTAGAAGGAGTACGTTGCCAGCTAGAACCTATTTCAATTCGCTATTGAACGGTTGTAAGTTGCAAGATCATTTTTCGCTGTTTGTGCATATTTTGAATGTTATAGCCAATAAATACCGAAATTCTGAAGTGCCCCAACACGAAATATTAAAGTCAGCAAGTCCGATGTCTCTCATCTTTAGCAAAAAACATCGTAGGGGACAACATAGAGGCAGCGGCGATATACTCAGAAGTATGGCGTCTATGCACAAATTGAACGTGAGTCGTAAAAGGAAATCAATTAAAATTTCATTTAAATATGACCTTTTGTTCTGTCAGCATTCAAGCGTATTATGGTCTGTTCATAGATATAAGAAAGTGACCAATTGCTTTTGAACGGGATTATCCAAGGGTGGTCATTAACATACAATGCAACAAGATTATTACCTAAAGTTTCGGAATTTAAATTCAGGTAAAATTGTGGTCCGTAATAGAAAATAATTTTATACCTACCTGTGTTTAATATTGTTTGGTTTGGTATGCTACTTAGTTTAAGTTTATTAGTAATCATTCTTATTTCGTGTGTAATTAAGCGTGTGTTGAATCGTGAGCGAATTATGCACAATATGTGCGAGTCTAGTGTATCTCAGAGATGCTCCCACCCAAATGTAGAAAACACTATCCCATTGAGATTAAGGAAGTTATAAACAATGTTTATTTGACTCTCATTGAACGCGGTGCCAACAAGCAAGCATCTTTAGAAGAAACGGCCACATTGACGAAAATTCCAACATCAACTGTATGGAAAATTGTGAATAATCCCGTTTCAGCGAGGAAAAAAAGAAGCGATGCTGACATTTTCTCGAGTGTAGATGAAAGTGATCAATATATAAAATTTACCAGTTCTACGAGGAACAGAGCGTGCCTACATTAGATATCTTAATTAGTAGGCTTGAAAAAAATCAAACCGGTATTAGATGTGGAAGAACTACCTTATGGAAGTATATTCGACACATGGGTTTTAGATTTAAAAAAGATATATCAAAAGGCACGTTTTAATGGAATCTTTTAGAATTCGGAAATGGCGACTGGAATATCTAGAAAAAATTAGGATTTACAGAGAACAACAAAGGCCAATTATTTACTTGGATGAAACCTGGTTCGACACTTATGATGCCCCGGAAAAGGGTTGGGTTGACTCAACTGATAAGTGTAAAACAAACGCGCCATCAAAAAGAGGTAAAAGAATAACTATTTTGCATGGGGGCTCTAAAGATGGTTGGATTCCAAATGGACTTTCTGTGTCTGCGAAAAATATTAAAGATTCTTCTCTGGATTATCATGAAGACACCACCGCTGATTTATTTGGAAGTTGGTTTAAAAACAAACTAGTTCCAAACATTCCTCATAATAGCGTAATTGTAATGTACAATGCAAGTTATCATAGTAGACAGTTGACTAAAACCCCTTCCTTATGTGACACAAAAGCAACAATCCAAAACTACATGTATAATAACGACATTTATTTTCACGAAGATTATACCAAAAAGCAATTAAATGAGGTTCTACAAAGCTTGAACTTACAAAAGGAATACGTCTGTGATAATTATGCAAAAAATCTAGGGCATACAGTTTTAAGGCTTCCACCTCACCACTGTATATTTAATCCCATTGAACATATTTTTCACCAACTGAAATCTGAACAATGTTTTTCCCCGTATTAACTCCAATGTCCTCAAACTTATATAGAAACCGAAGTTTTTAACATCCCTCCAAAAAGTTGGGCAAATTCTGTTAAACATATAGAAAAAGCAGAACAATCGTATATCCATATTGCAAATAATATATAACAAATAATAATTCGAAGAGGCGATGATAGCGACAGTGATACTGATATATAATTTTAAGTAATTTAAGTAGGTAATAAAAATAATTTGCAATTTTATTTTAGATTTTAACATTAATACATACATAACTAAATAAATATTGTTTAGTATGTTTCCTAACAAAACCCCAAATAATTAAATTCTAAGCAAAGTACGTACCTGTTCGGCCATATTTCATTCTTATAGCTTGCTCGGGTCTTTCCTTAATTCGTATCAGTTAGTCACTTTCTTATATCTATGAACAGACTTTACCTATTATTAAAATACAATATAAGTAAATGGTAAATCCAGAAATAATTGACTTGAATAATTTTAATATAAATTAAAGTGTCTCTTCATTGGAAATTAGAAATATTTCCTCAATAAAGAGGATCGAATAATTGTTTTGGTGAAAACCCAATTCAACATGCGCTCTTTGTCTGTATAATATTTGTAATAATTGTATTTCTAAATTTTGTTGTCTTTAGAGCCGAAAGATATACAGACTTCATTAATGTGTGTGATATATATATTTGCAGGTTGTTTTCCCAAATATCCGTATGTTTATGTTCAGGTATTTCAAGAGGCAGCGTCGAACCTGCCCCAAGAGGACCGATCGGAACTTCAAGAGATGATACAGATGTTCCATCAATCGAAGCTGAAGAAATCTTTGAACAAAAAATGGTCTCAAACACTCCCGCATCTCTCCAGCGGCGGCAGAGTGAGACCTCAAGGCGAAGCGGTTCAACGGTACACCCCCAAAGAGGAGAGCGCCGGAATACGCGCGGACTCTGAAGATGGTCAAGCTTTTGAAATGACTAAAGTAAAAGCTGGAAGTTTGCTCGGGACATGCCGGGCTGCCAGATTAAGGGAAGATTCTAGTGTGTTCTTGCTGGAGGATAGTTTCAAGGTGAAAGCCTTGCTAAATAAATCAGAATCCTTCAAATATTAAACGATTATTGCAAATTCAATACACGAAGAATGTCTTGAATACTAACTAACCACTTGCCATTGTGTACAGTTGTTGAACTATCGGTTTAAGCTTGGAAATAAAAATCTTTTTTTTTTTACTCTGGTGTTTTCCTTAATATAAACTTAAATTTGTACCCCCACTCTAAAGTACCGTCTTACTACCGGCAATCAAACACTCGCAAAGTGTTACTTTAACGCATCAGGTTTATTCAACATAGTCTCAAATCAGGGGAGTTTCCGTTACTTTAGTCACGATTGATGTTTCTTGGTACCTTAAAAATGCTGATATAAAATGGTGTATTGACGACAATATATATATTTTAAAATACCACATTCAAAATTACGGATACTTAGTTAAACATATATCTATAGGGTATAATAACGTTTAATTTAAAATCGTTTCAAAATCGAGAAAATTCCCATTATTTCTGGAGGTATCCGAAAAAAACAACGACCAGCAATCTCTTTTATTTTTTTTCTGGTATTAACTAAAACAAATTGAGAACTAATGACGCTATCTCCTTGCAACTTTTATTCAGTTTTAAATATGTGTGTGCTTATCACCAACCTCATTTTTTTAAATACAGACTTGCATTTTTTATTTAAAATTTAATTTATATGTATTACACTTATTGATTAACCAAAAAATACCTCCCTAAAATTAGCAATACAGTCAAATTTATTAGCAAAGACTTAAATTGAAAAAAAAATTACAAATAAAAATAACCAAAACTAACCAAAAGAATTTATAGCAATTAGTCTTGATATAGTTGGTAATTATTAAAATGTCAATTACGTTTTACTGCTCCATGTAATTATGGACTTTACTTCAATTGCAGAATTGCTAACGAACGGTAGCTAGATCAAATTCTCCAGCGAATGCAACAGCATCCACATTTTTTTACGAAATCAGCATGAACCAGATGATAACTTTTTAACAAAAATGATTTGGACCGACGTCATTGTTTATTTAATAGGCATAATGAACATTACTGACCAATTGAGAATCCGCGGCAATATAAAGAAAGTAGAAAGAAGTGAGAAAATAGGAATAGGAAGCTTCTTTTAATGTTTAGGAGGGGTTGAAGGTAGCTTAACGTCCGAAAGATGTCAACAATTGACAATGAATAATATTTTTGATTAGTATGATGATGATGTACCATGAAATATTGTGCAATCGTCATGGTGGACAGGAAATCGGGCTGCGATAGCCTACTAGAACTCCAGATGTAAATTCATTAGATTACTTCTTATGGGGATATTTAAAAATCGTTTATATCCTGAGACCCCGAATGACATAAATGATATATCTCTCAATTTATTTTATTTTATTATTTATTCCCCACTTTACGAGATCAATTTTTAAATATTTATTTTAAAAGCCTCTTTTTTGTATTCTGTATTAGCCACCAAAGTAGAATGTAATTAAAATTCTAATATGCATAAAACGGCTTGACATAATAATGCTTTTGTTTCATGGCCACCTTATTTTTTCTGGAAATTTGACTTTACTGTCAATTTTGGGGAGTTATTGTTTAGTAAATCATAAAGTAACCTTATTCAAAATATTAAATACAAAATTGCAGATTGCATTTAAAAAAATGAAGTTGATGATGGACATACAAAACTGAAACGTCATACTTAAAACCTAATAATGTTAATTTGTAGGAAAGAAAAAGTTACAATGTGTCATTTGTTTTCAATTGTTTGTTTTTTTAATGAAAGTCAGGAAAAACTTTAAATATCTTCGAAACTAATCAAAATTTTCTCGGTTCTACAGTAAGCAACAAAATACGCAAGTTTGCTTGTGTTTAATCAACTTTGTACCTCTTGTATTTCCGACGTCACAATAGTCACAATCGAATTTGGGACAACCTGTACAAATAAAAAAAAGAATCATTAATGTAATTGGTAGTTTTATAATAACGATTTAAAAAATATATTTGTTATTAAATTTGATGAACGCTACTTATGACTTACTAATTTAATTATTCAGTAACAAAGAGTTCTTTCTATCGTCTTTGCCGGCTAAAATAAAACTTGTAGATAAAGTAGAATGCCTAATTTTTCCGTCAGAGCCCATCGTAAATACTGCCGTATATGGATACTGCAACTGCAGCGCTTTTTTTGAAGGAACATTGATCCAACAGTGTCGTTTCCTGGAAACCTAACAACATGGGACCGCTTACAACAGTAAGACCATCGAACAAACAATGCAATTTGTCAGTTTCATCTAATAATTATTATTTGGCTGTTCGGCACCATTTGAAAACATTAAAATTCATGACCAAAGAGAAGGAAAATAGTAGTGAGCAAAACTCCGATTTTATATTAAATGGCGGCAAGGTAAGTACATAACTTATTCATGTAAAAAGCTCCCGCCCCGTTATTATCTCTTCCGCTGGCACGATATCAATTTGTCGATTTATTATTATAATTTTTTTTGTTAAACGACTTTTTATTTATTTGTCACTATATTATAATATAAGGGAAAAATTCGGAGTGATAATATAATAATGTAAACGTGTATTAAGAAACACAGTCTATTTGAAACGTGCACCTCTGCTTTTATATTGTTTGAAAGTAAAAATCTTTTTTAAGCCACGTTCGTAGAAAATTTTAGTTTAATAGTTACCAGGAAGAGATCGGTACCAATGATAACTGTCACACGCCTAAGCGGCAAAGGAATTCGCAAAGAAGAAAGGTATCAGCAGACCTGATAATTACAGACCAGTGGCTATCGTATCTATTGTGAATAAAATCGTGGAACTCTTTTTTTATTTTAATACCGGAACATCACTTTTGGTATAGAAAGAATAAATCTTTGTGCAAGGTTTTTATCAAAACAATGTGTGTGCTAACATAGGCTAGAAATTGGTGAAGATAGATCCAAAGAGTTGGCCGACCACGGTTTTTGACATTGTGATCAAATCGCTTTTCTTTCTTGCGGTCAGTGAAATTAAGGATTCCATTGTTTGTAGATGTAGATGAGATGTTGCTTTGCGTAGGAATAGAAAATCCAATAATCTTGATTTTTATGGTTGATGGTTTTCTTTAAATAAACCAAAATTGAATGAGTGAAAATTTCAAAAAATTATCTTCCCCCCGACCGATAAATAGGACACAAGAACCTGTAAATCTCCTTATGATGTCTTATAGCCAACTTTTTCGAGACATTTAAGTTATTCTGTCAAAAATGACAAAATGACAGAATAAATCCCTTATAATTTCAAATAAGTCACTTTATTTGTAGAAAAATGACCGTTAATTGTATATTATGCAACAAGTGCGGTAAACGGTATTTAACTCACGAGTTTATTTGACACTAGCGGAGCGAGTTTTAATAAACGAGTGAGATAAAAAGATTTTCTACTCCCGTCTGTAAAATACCTGATTACCCACCAATCTAGCGTGCGGGAAGCGTCACCCTACCACGTCAGTTTCGTTTACCTCAAATCCGAGCCAATTCGCACATTTCCGGGATTTTACCGCACTGGTTTGGGAGCAATCGGATGTTTTCGGAGATATTTCCCACGCTTTCAATTTTGATGTTTGTCAATTCGGACAGTCATGTCAGTGAATGTATTCGTGTTGTTTTGCGACAATGTACCCAAAAACTAGCGGTCATAGAAAAAGTAGAGTATGCAACAAGTTCGGTAAACTTTTCAACTCACTCGTTTATGCCGTTCACCGCACGTATTGCATACTATACTTTTTCTACTACCGTTAGTTTTTGGGTACATTTTCACATAACAACACAAATACATTCACCGACGTGACAGTCAGAATTGACAAACGTCAAAATTCAAAGCGTGGGAAATATCTCCGAGAACATCCGATTGCTTCCAAATCCGTGCGACAAAATCCCGGAAGTGTCCGAAGTGGCTCGGATTCGTGGGAAACGAAACTGAGGTGGTAAAGTGATACTTCCCGCACGCTAGATCGGTGTATAATTAGGTATTTTACAGACGGGAGTAGAAAACAAGTTTAGTTAGTGGTTTTGACAATTACTAACTAATTAAAAAAAAGAATAAAATGCGGTGTTAAAAATTTCAAATTTTTCAGAAGTATTCGGAGTTACGCGAATTTTTCGAGATTTTGGTTTAAAATTTCCCCACTTTCTCATTAGATCAATCTTGAACGAAGGCCGTGCAGTAAGTTAGCCACAGCAAGCTCCAAGTACTCTCTACTGACAAAATGCTTCTCGAGGCCGGTGTCCGCCCTCCCTGCATTGAACTGGAACGACCAGGTATAGCAGGATCACACATCTATCGAACTCATCATTATTTAGAACCCAACGAGTAACCGAATGAATAGAGGACTCGTTACTGATGAAAGTAAAAAATAATGCAAGTCATGTACTTGCTTCTGTTTCGATGTAGTGGAGTGTAAAATCTACTTCGATGATTCTACTTCTTTAATAACCTTAAAGTAAACATCTTTAGTACAAAATGTAACGAAACCAATGTAAATTTTGATAGCACTTGCACCTTCACAAAATCAGGTAGTAGGTATAGTCTGTCCAGTCTTCATTATGCTGGCTTTTACCCGCAATTATGGAAGTTACCTGCCGCCGGCAATAAAACTTGGGTCCGGTAGGCAATAAAGGACAGAACATTAGAGACGAACTCTCAAAGGTTTTGGTAATAATAATTTTTTTGTTCATTTAGGTGGGTATAATCTTATTAAATTACACTAAGAAGAAACACATAAAATGACATTAAATATATACAATAAATTCATAGCTAGGAATATCTATATATAATTAAATTTTTGTTCTAAATGTCTAAATCTAATTCTGTTTCACTATCAGAGTCGTAACTGGGAGTAGAGTCATGTGGGGCAAGAGTGCGCATTTTTTTTTCTATGGTCATAAAATTGTAATGATTGTACAAAATAAATTGAAATAAAAGTATTTATTTAAAGGATTTATTGATTTAACAATTACGTAACATGAAATTCAATTTACTTAATTGTAATTAAAGAAATAAAATAAAATAAATGTTAGTCAGAATGCGCACACTTACCCCAATATTGGGGTAAACGTGCGCAGCACTGCGGGTAAGTGTGCGCATTTGTAATAATTTAAACCATAACTTGTTACATATAGTTACACCATATTTAATGTTGTAAATATTATTTTTTATCAATACTTATCATTTTTTACTTTTTACGACGACAGTGTGCGCAGTCTGTTCAGCCAAACCTTCGCATACATACTGTTTTTTATTTCCATATAAATTTAGGTTTTTCAGAAGTTGCGTTTTTTTTGTAACTGAATTCAAAATAAATATAATTTTCTAACAAATACTCCTGGAGCGTGTGTTATAGCGATGCATTTTCCTTTGTAGGAAGGTGCTTTTGTTTGACAGTTTTAAGTGGAATCAACCCATTCTTTGGATACAGTGTCGTGTTTATCGACCCATGTTTCATTAAGGTAAATTATGGATCTGTCGTCTAAACTATCTTTTAATTTCTGGTTGGTAATAAATCACATATTACAAACAATTCTATATATTTTCATCTTCTTCTAACTTCTTTTTCAGTTTAACCAAGGTAGGATATTGTCCATACAGTGAGTTTGAAAATCACTACGTTTATACCTTATTTTCAATTCTCCGCTTTTAATAATACCTCTTATCGACGATATTTGCGTTTTTGTAAGTAGACAGGTTTCCTTTAAAGCATTTTATTTAATAAGTTTTCTATTGATTTAACTTTCATACAGACTTTTCACAACCCGTTTTGAATCTAGCGAAAAGTTATTTCGATGCGACATTGGTGTATTTTCGTAAAATGACTTTTTCGAAACGCACAGTAGAAAAGATTATTCAACACTGCCACAAATGGTCAAGAAATATATCAGGAAGAACGAAATATACCTTTCCCACCCATGTCTTGTCACTCAATAACAATAGGTAATAACATCAATAAAGTTTTACTCGAGAGGGTCCGCCGAATGCCAACACAATGAAGATTGAGACAGACTATACCGTGTTAAAAATAACTATAATAAATAATAAGTTTTATCCCAGGTTAGTTTCACAAGTATTGGCGCCTTAAGGACTATTTCGTGTATGTTCTTTTTGAATTTTCTAAAGTATAACAGAAAAATATTTAGTTTACTCAGAGCGAGTGCGGTCTGCTGTCTGCATCATCAGCATAGCGAAGGTTATTAACAGTCTGTCCGTTGATTTTGATTCCATCGTCATTGTCTCTTAAGGCCCTATCGAAAATTGTTTCAGAGTAAAGATTAAAAAGGAGGGGGATAGAACACAGCCCTGTCGTACACCTTTTTCGATTGGGAAATATGATGTAAATTTTTGTCCTACTCTCACGGACCCTATTTGATTCATATAGAGGTTCTTTATGATTTTAAGATCATTCCTATCTATGTTCTTGAAGCAATCTTATTAATTCTGAATGGATAGTAATCTATAGATAGATAGATAGATAGATAGATAGATAGATAGATAGATAGATAGATAGATAGATAGATAGATAGATAGATAGATAGATAGAGAGAGAGATAGATAGATAGATAGATAGATAGATAGATTATTTATTCACAAAACCAGGTGATACAATGGATGTTTCGTCAATAAATACAAATAATAAATTACAAGTTTCATTGCAAAAACAATGTATATCATAATCTTAAGTAATGTATAGAACGAATACGAGTATATATTTATATAACAAACATGACAAATAAGTTAATGTAATTTAAAATAAAAGAGAGTATACATTAGAAAAATCTCGGTAAACTTTTAACGTTATTTACGATGCTCTCAGGTACGCTTCAAATTCTTTCAGGCTGTAGAAAGCATTGGCCGACAGGAGCCTCTTGATGTGTTTTTTAAATTGATTTATAGATAAATTTTTTAAGCTTGGAGACAGCAAATTATAATAATATGGTCCTGCGTAACTTAGTGATTTTTTATAAAACATACGGTTGAGTTTTGGCTTCAGTAGATGTTCTCTATTGCGAGTATTGTAACTGTGGATATCAGTATGGTTCCTATGTGAATATTTATGTGTGATCAAAAGTATTTTAAATAGGTATATACAAGGCATTGTTAATATTTTGAGCTGCTGAAATATCTCGTTGCATGATTGCCTCGGAGGAAGTTTAAAAATCAGCCTAAGTATTCTTTTTTGCTGTATAAACACTCTCTCAGCATCATTCGCTTGTCCCCAGTTGACAATATTGTGTGAAATGGAAGAGTAAGCTGACGCGTAGTAAAAAGCTATTAGTGCCTTCTCAAGAAATGAATCTCTAATCGTTAATATTGCGAAAAAGGTTTTATTTAGTTTATTGCAGATATTGTCAATGTCCCGGTCCCATCTCAAGGAGCTATCAATATAAGAACCAAGAAACTTCGTGGTCTGATTTATTTCCAATGGCGAACCAGCAAAACTGATCGATAAGCCAGCTAAAAGTTTAATGTACTGACCAGTAAACTCAACCACGACTGTCTTTTCCACATTCACGAGCAAATGATTTTGCCTACAGAAGTTATTAAACAACAAGAGATACATCATCCATCAACACTTCTGCATCTCTTCCAGAGACAAAGACGGACGTATCGTTCGCGTACATAAAGACACGACAGTCACTGTTGAGAAATTCCGGCAAATCGTTCACATATAAAAGAAATAATAATGGACCCAAAGTTCCCCCCTGAGGCGTGCCCAGGCTGACGCTATAAAGGTCTGAGTACGTTCCATTTATTTTGACACTTATTTTCCTATGGTTCATATACGATATGATCCAATCATTGATAGCCCCCCTGATTCCCAAGCATTCCAGCTTCTTTGCCATTATACTGAAGTTTAAGGAGTCAAAGGCGCGCGATAAATCGAAAAAAACTCCGATTACTGTCTCTCCGATATCTAGTTTATCATAAATATGCTGGACAAGTTCATCTGACCCAGTTTCCGTAGAGTGACCAGCGCGGAAACCATGTTGCACATTTGTTATTATATCTTCTTGGTCTAAGAAATGTGTCATTCGATTGTACATGGCTTTCTCTAGGACTTTGGAAAAACAACTTGCGATTGTTATAGGTCTGTAAGTCTTTATGTCTGTTGAATCCCCTTTCTTAAACACAGGAATCATTTTAGAATTTTTTAGCGCCGAGGGGAATTGCCCTAATAAAACAGAGGAATTAATAATCATAGTTAAATATGGGGCCAGGACATCGCTACATGCTTTAATAAGTCGTACAGGTATTTCGTCATTTCCCAAAGATTGTTTGTTTTTTAATGAGTGAATTAAGGACACTACTAAAGCATAGGAAGGCGTCTTTTTGCTGGTCTCTCCATTTCTGAAGTAGGACAGTTAAGCTATAAAGTGCTTCTCTTGTACCAAAACCCTGTCTGATTCCGATCTGTGTATATTCTTGTGGTTTATCTTTAAGGAGAGTTTTAGGACCTGGCTCAGTAAGCTGATCATTTAGAATTATTTTCGTTTGGCTTTTTTGGGATTGGTACAAAGGAAGATTGATTGAAGCCAATCAATCAATCAAGTATTTGACCAGACCCGTAAATGTCAATAAAGAGATCTAACAAGGCGTCCATAGTATCTTCACTCAACATTGTTAGAACCTCTATGTATATGTCGTCTGGGCCTGGTGCTTTTCCCCAATATTTTAAGGAAAGGTTCAATTTTAAAATACACTTTCATAGTTTCTTCTAGTGTTTTCTGAGTATAGTTGCGGTGTATAGTTTCTCCATTGCCTTGGGATCAGTGAATTATTTATTGTCCTTTACAATACTGTTAAAACAACAAGGTTTTGTACGACCTCTTACTTCTTACACGAGTTAGGAGCTTACATTTTTAATGAGTTCGATAGATCGGCCGTGTTACTATATTCTTCAACACCCACTGTTGTTTGCTAATGAAGTTTCCATGTTGTACAGAAAGATTCCGATATTTTTGATAGAAGACCGTTTTCCGCCGGATATCGTCGACGGAAAACTAGTGACGATGAAAATATCACTCAGCAAAGCAGCTTTGAGGATTTAACGGATATACGTAACATTAGACAGACACCCGTCATCAGTATATCAATGAAAATTAACTTTGTAGACGCGCTTCCGTCAACAGAACTGTTCAAAAATATGTTATCCGAACCGATCAAGAGCTGGAGGGGTGCGAGACCTGGGAATTCGTTGGTAACAACCAGCAGTTCAGGGGAATCCAGTGATACCGATGTAGTTGAAAGTAAATCGCACGCTGAAACGACTTTCAATCCAAATATGCTTCAACATGTCGAACCAGTTGATCTTCCGCATGATATAAATGAAGGTATTCGAGTTTTTGTATATTATATAAATTGCTGTTTTAATATTATCACTTCTTGCGGTATACAGGGCGTTATATAAAAGTGTGTATTACTCAGTTAGATCATACAGGCAAAAAATAAACATACACAAACTACATGCAATTTGTTTGGTCTATTTTGGTAACCTAATTATGTTTTAGAGGTATGTGATTATGGTGAGCGTATCCATCAAAATCTTTCGGATATGGAACCTGGAATCGCTACGAAACCGCCGTTACCCAAATCATCCAGAACAACGGCAATGTACAGCAACGAAGTAATAGAAAACGTTGGATCGTTTCTAGGAAACAGGCGTGACTATTTTCATGACGCGGACAACGGAGTGATCGAAAACGAAGATTTTGATGTTAAAAGCGCAACAAACAGATCGACACTGGCACAAAATCAATACCACTGGAGAAATAGTCAAGCAATTTCCGAGGAGGTGCAAAAGAAGGAGAGCGAAACCGACAAGCATATTCAGAACCTCAAAGACCAGAGTATCGCTAAGGGGAATTTCACCGACAACACAAAAATCGCCGACAAATGGAGGGAGCGAGCATCGGATGACACGTCTAATATGGCGGAGCTAAATTTGGGATCGTTTTTCAAAGATGAAACGGATGTCAAGTTCGATAAGTTTTTTGAACCGGAAACTACGTTTTATGACAATATTCCGAAGAACAAAGTCAAAGGAAAGTCTACAAGAACGCCAGTCCCATTTTCGAAGAGCAAACCGAAGATCAGTCAAGACAAGAAAGTATCGAAAACAAGTTTTGTTTCGAGGCAAATCAAAGGTGGAAAGGAGTGTCGAGATGTGACCAAAGCCGAAAAGGATATCGATTCGTGGATGACGAACGACTGTCGTGCAGTAGGAACGAAGAAAAAGACAAACTATTCGGATTTGCTTAGCAATATCGGAGAATTTGAAACGGATGGGCAGGAACAGATTTCTAGGAGTGGAACTGGAGAGAACGCGGTGGTTGATAAAACTAGTAATTCCGGTAGTTTTGAGGATATCGTGTCTATTTTAGAAGCTCTTCAAAACGAAGATAAGAGATCACGTAAGTGTTAATTTGTAGTTAAGACCACTAGCACCAACAGAATTATAGTTACTTACTGATTGCAAATTCAGTGTAACTTTCAAATATCAAATCATGACAAATGACGTTGCAAATATTCTTTCTAGCAGTGGCCTCTAAGTTTATCCAATATTTTTATTTTGTTTATAGCAAAATCGTATTGCATCAAAAACGGCTTAACCTTTAAAGCTATAACTAACATATCAGACAAATTTGGTTTCCTTTTTTACTTTCAATTAAGAACTTAACTCAAGCAGCTTCTCAAAAATATTCGTACCGTACATTAAAACATTAAACATTTAAATTACCAAGAACCGTTTTTAAAGTTATAAGGGCAATTTTTTTCATGTACACCAAGAATATAGAAGAAGCTAAAATTTCGCTTAAAGTTGAATATGCTGTTAATTTCTGTTGGTTAGTTTTTTAGTTAGAATTTTTCTTAGCAATTTTTGTTTCTAAGATACCCTCATACCTTTTCTATCTCTCTCAGACCCTAGTATCTGGAAAAACTGATATATTATTTTTATTTCGATTCAAACCTATGTGAAATTTTCAGCTCCAAAAACTCTAATATAGTTCAATTAAAAACACTGAAAAAAAAAGCGACAGACTTTAGGAAGTTTAAGAAGTTTCTTTCTTAACATTTTTTTCATGTAATGGATTTTTCTTATAACAAAGTTAAATAAGTTACATTAATTCAGATGTCAGCAGGATAGTTTTTAAGGGTGTTTCAAAGACATAATTTTAAAGTCATATATTAAGAAATTTTCATATGATTTTTCGAAAATTTTCCCACTACAATTACTTCCACGACATTACGCCTTGATTTGATTTTTCAACTAAGATAACCAAACCAACCTAAATATATTTCAGATAGTCCAATTAGTGAAAAAAATGTAATTAAAAAAAATCATATAGCATCATCTTGCAACACGACTCGAAAAATAACTCGGGAAAAAAACTGATATATTTTTACGGTATTTTTAAATAGAAATTTGACTCTACAAGCTGCAGTTTTGTAGTATATAGCTATGCTATAGCTAAGTGGGTATGATCACTAATTAAACTTTTCAACAATACTGACATTTTTCTAACCCTAAAACTCCTTTAATTTTTTAAACTTTTTTTAATATTAATTTTTGAATCATTTTATTTTTTAACCTATTTTTTGTAACGCTTGCAAAAAATTAAAATAGATCCCCTTCTACTTTATTAAAAATAGAAAACATTTTCTGCGCCTACCTGTACCTTTTTTTTGGGTCCTAAACATTGTCATTTAACGGATATTTGTGTAGGGATAATGGACCAGCAAAATTATTAATTACAAAAACATTAGGTCTATTCTTCATTTATTTTTGTTTATAATGGGAAAACCCCATTTAATGAAAAGCTTACAAAAAAAAACAAATGTGTGTAAATGGGCCACTATTTTTAACTGCTTTTCTTTCAAATGCAAAACAAGCAACTAAAAAAGCTCAACAAAAATTAACGTATTTTCACCACTCAGTCCAACGGATTATAGTCATCGTAAATAACATAGTAATAAAATAAATAAGGGATGAAGTTAGCTACTTTTAATTATGTATTTTAAATTGTCTGGCGCTAGATCGTTAATTTGACCCAGTGGGTGAAGGTATATTTAGATTTTGTTCCGAAGCTGTTAGTTTAGGTCAGCTCATCAACTATGTTAACATTGATTACAGTTGTTTATTTTTAGACATGAAAATAGCATCAGTGAAGAAAATAATCGATCACAGTTTAAACCAATACGATTTGGAACTAAAGACGCACAAAATTAAATCGCATACTCAGAAAGATTTTGAAAGCGTCGATTCGGACGGCGAAATTTTGATAGATGTCCAAAAAAAGGACTCCAATGAGCGAAACGTCTCTTTCTCGCCTGTCGTTTCTCAACGGAACTATGTGGACATGGACGTGGAAACCGATAACCACTCGCATAATAGTCCTCTGATAGATTTCGAGTCATCCAATATCTTGCTCTCGAAGAGCGTGCCTTTGAAGGGTCAAGACATGAATTATAAGTAGATCGGCGCAACTCGGATATGTTCTAGCAGGAATATCTGATTGTGTTTTAGAGAACTGATGTCATTCTTAGACGATATGGATGAAAAATGTGCCAAATCGTTGTCGCAAGCTAGAGAAAATGCTGTGTTCGCACACCAGATGTTAAAGACTTCTACGGATTTAAACTGCATCCCACGGTAGATTTTAAATTCACTTAACTTTGCGTCGATTTTTTTTACCTCCACCTCAACTACTTTCGTTTTCCTATGAAAAACATTTTAAAACATCAGGTAAAAATCTTTAGTCTTAGTGCTCAAGCTTTTTGGTTTATTTTTCTTTGCTTTTTTCACACTTTGAAATAGCCAAGAAACTCTGTAATCACGAAGATGAAGATAATGCTAGTTGCACAACATACCATTTTTTCAATCTAAATCTAGCTTCTACGATGTTTGAGAATATTCTTGGAGTATGAGCATTTTGAATTGTAGCAGTAGTAGCCATCATTAGTTATTTCGTATCGTGCGTCCTGTTTTTATTGGAATTACTTTCGATTGTGTCGTTCCTACGGATTTCTTCTTGGAATGTCTGCGGTGTCCCTACATATTATTAGTACTGATCTTTCCGCCATACTGACTTTTACCTTTTTGCGGATGATGTAGTTTTTACTCTTTCTGCAGCAACTTAGCAACCAAGACAACTGTTGAATGAAAGTAAAACTAAGAGATCGCCTTTTCAACACGGGATTTGAATAAGAGTTTCTTAGTACGCTTTAATGAAAGCACAATCCAACAGAAAAGTGTTGTAAAATTCCTCGGGTTTATGTTGAGACTCTCCTGGTTCGTACAGGTGGACCACATTCTCAAAAAACTGTTTCCTGCTTTGCGATATGGAAGCTCCGCCATCAGTTTTCTTTTCCCTTGTTAAAAATTTACTATTTTTCCTATGTCTATCTCCCTTTCTCAACTTCGGTTAGGTTTGTTAAGGAGGTTCCTCACGTGCAAAGAGAATTTTTAGGATACGGAAACGTATTCTACGGACTATACTGTTTAAGCCGTGGAATTTTTCATGTCGAGACCTATTTCCACAAGACTGTTTATTGATATTTTGACGCACATTGACTGTCTCTCACATCAAACAGCCCTTTTGTTTTGACTGTAAAAATTTATAATAAATTGCCTATCGAACTGAAGGAGATAACTAGTCAAACAAAATTCAAATGCACTCTTAAAGACAAATTGCTCGCCTCACCTATTACAATATTAAGGATTTTCTTATTTTCTTTCTTGTGAACGCTTTTAATACGTATTCATTGTTTGTTATTGTTTGTATATTTGTTATTTATCTCACATTATTACTTATTATTATAATTAATTAATTATACTAAGATAATTTTATATTTTTACATTCATATTATACTGACAATATCCAACACAAACTAAAGTCTTATGGAAATAAAGCTATCTTTATCTTTATCAAACAAATTTCACCAACTCTATAATGGGAAATTTTAATATATTTTTTCATTCTTTAATACATTTGTTTATATATAGAAATAACGCATACCCAATATCAAAACTCAAAACCCAATATTTAAGTTGGAATAAATAATTCAAGTTGTCGGAATGAGCGTGACGTCATTCCGCTGCTTTTCGACCGATACGGCGACATGTTATAGCGTAATTCGCAGGTTATAGGTCGAAAATTATATTATTTACGTATATTTTTGGCTCGTGTGTTTGTATTTAATCTACGCCAGTATGTATTTGTGCTTAGCGCGTTTTACATGATAATAATAGAAGCAACACAAAAACAATGTTGCATATCGTGTTTGAGTACCACCCGTAAAACGCCAGATCAGAAAATAAAAGCAGTCGTTTTTTGTTAACATTATGTTTAGGCTTAGCTTGAGTTTTAACCGTACAAACATTTTTAGTTCTTCAAACATGCATCCATCCTATTGCAGTCTCCATAGGAATGGCTTCCTGATCTATATAAAATAAAGTAACTTTAAGTTATCAGCGAATATACTTTAAAATCAGTTTAAAAAAATCCTTTTTGTTGAATAATTTACGTTTTATTTGAATTTGAATTTTCATTTCAATTTTAAAAACTAGAAAACTTTAAGCTGATTATAATATTATATTGGCTGAACTAGGCGGCTTTTACTTGATGAAAATCCATTTAACAAAATAAATAAGAACTAAAATTTATATTTTATTATATATTATGTATTATATATAATTATATATATATATATATATATATATATATATATATATATATATATATATATATATATATATATATATATAATATATTATATATTATATATTTTCACATGGCAATTGTCTCAACAATACCGCGTCTTTATCAAATGTACATTTGATAAAGACACGGTATATGTTTTATATGTAAGATTTCACCATAAACATATTCACTAAAGGTAAATTATCAGATCGACCTTTTAAAAAATCGGCTTCGAACATTTGCAAAGCTTTGTTTTTGACACTAAACATAAGATAACGAAAGTAAGCGACAGTATCAGGACTAAAATTAAAATTAAAACAACCACGACGAACGCGTTTTCTAATGGCTTCTCTGTTCTATCATCCAGCTGCGTTGGCGCCGCATAGTCTAACCAGCGAATTGACGTCACAGCCGGTTACAGCCAACGACAGCACGTTTTAAAGAGGATTTAACTAGATAGATAGGATAGAACTACGAAATTATTATTTTGTTCTTTTAAAAGTATAAATTTACTTTTATAAGCAATATTTTTCAAGTTAAAATTTTGTTCAAGTTCCCTATTCCCCATACTGCCCAACTGAGACGCGGCGTAAACTGGTGTTAATTTAAATATCTGTTATCAGAATGGAAGACCTGCAAGTTCTTAATAAAGACGAACTGTGTCACCAACTAGTAGACATAAGTTTAAGACTGAAGGACCGAAATTCTTCCGTAAATTTACTTCAAAACGAATTATCATCTTTACGAGAAGAAGTCATGAAACAAAATAGACAAATGGAATCGTTGGTCAAACAGAAACTGAAGCAACAAAAGGAAGAATACGAGAACGTGGTGAAGAGGCATCAAAGGTTTATCGATCAACTCATCGCCGATAAGAAAGGTTTGAACCAGCAGTGTGAAAATTTAACGCAGGAAATGAAAGTACTATCGGGCTATGATATATAGTTTTCTTGCATTGAAATACTCGTTGCAGGTATTGGAAGATCGCCACCATTCCAATACCAGAGCGCTAGAACATAAACACCAGCTCGAAATAAAAAAATTAAAAGATATGCATGCGGCTGGTGAGAAGATACGCAGGGAGCGATGGATCGAGGGAAGAACGCAGAAAATTAAAGTAGAAACCAGGATGGTACACGCCCAAATACTCAATCCTCAATTTTCAGCAACTGACCGTCAAAAGTATTGAACCAGAAATAAACAACATGGAAAGGAGACACGAGCAGGAATTGGCCGACCTGAGATCGGTTCATAAAAGGGAAATTGAAGATTTAGAACTTAAAATGGCGAGGAAGATGCAACAGCAATGCGAATCCCTTCGGGAGCAATTAGTGAACGAAAGGGAAAAAGCGTTGACTCACGAAAGGGACGTTATGAGGCAAAGGTAAGACCTAGGACCATTTTGTTTAGTTTCAAGGCGTTATATGTCAAAAATGTGATTAATCAAATTTGTTTCAGGTATGAAAAGATGGTAGAATCTGAAGAACAGAGCTATCAGGAACAAAAAAGAAAGCTTCAAAACGAATACGCCAACCGAACAAAAGAGTGCGAAGAAAGAGAAACAGCTGCACAGCTGGACAAGGAGAGAGCGATTAAACAACTGCAAAAAGAACTCGAAGATAAGCTCCAAGTAATTATCCGTAACCGGTTTGCTAACAAATTGAGACGTCTAATATACTTTTAGATGATAATAAGGAGGCACCATACTGAATTGAAATTGGTGCGTGAATCCTCGCAGATGGAGTTCCAGTCATGGCAGACTAATTTTATGAAGCAGCAAACATCTGCGCTACTAGAGAAAGAAAATATTATCAAAGAAGAATATAGGAGAGAAAAAGAAAAGGAGGTGGAAGCTCTTATGCGCAGAGTGGAAAGTGATAATGGGGACTTTCGGGCGCAAATCGAAGAAAGCATGGAGAATAGGATTAGGTTTGTAAATATACCACGAAATTTGTGTATATTTGGTAACGCGTTAAGCCCCATTATAGAAGGGCCAGAGAAAAGTACGAGAAAGAAATAAAGGACTTGGAAATCTCTGAAAAAGAATCTAACGATAAGTTTATTGAAGCGAAGAAACAAGTTTTGGAATCAGAAGAGACTATAATTGGTTTAAAAGCAGCTATTAAACAACTAGAAAATCAGAACAGTGGTTACAAAGAGGTAAATCTTCTAAATGCTAATAATCGATTCAAATTCATTTCATTCAAGTCATTTATTCCATAAGACATTGGAAAAAATGCAAGAGGAACGAAAGTCGTTGAAGTCCGCGGTGAGAGAGGAAATGAAAGAGGAAATGGAGGGACTGCAGCTAGAGCTCGCTCACTTGAAAAACAATCGGGAGAAAGAATTACAACAACTCTATTCAAGGTAAATAATCTCGCTGTAAAACAATGATGCTGAATGAGTGTTATTGTTAGGATCAAAGTCTCCGTAGCCAGAAAGGATGACATCTTGAGTGAGTTGCAAGTGGAGCACAAAGCATTACAAGAAAAGTGCATTTATTTGGAAAACATGCTCGAACAACAAAGGAAGGAGTATTTAATTAAGTAAATGTTTGTAAGCCTTGCATACTTGTACATTTTCTTATATTTTTATAAAGCGACATGATATTCGTATTCTGGTTTTACTCAATTTTACTTAATAAACATTTTTAAGTACATTCCAGCGTTTCGTTTATAACAAAATGACAACCGAAGAACCTTTTTCAAATGTGTTGTGGTGAAAAATATTTTGTATATTAGTTTTTTAACAGATAACAAATACTAAAAAATGTTTTCAATTCTTTATTGCATGTAAATCTTATCCTTTTATTTCAACAATGTTCGATCGATATGTAAAAACTACTTAACAATCTGTTTAAAAATATATAAATGTTCAATCATGCTACAGGAAAAACAAGAAGTTTTGGATAGTAAAATATCAGAATACGCAGCTGAATGCGAGTCAAATAACAAAATGTCTAGATAATCTAAATCTGTTGCTATTCAAATTACTTTGGTCTGTCCAATTGAATGGATCTCATAATCGACATACAGAGAGTACGTTTATTTGTTCACAAATCCGTCACATCTTTTATTTTAAAAATAATTGATTGATTTTTGTATTTTTAAATCATCATCATTAATAAATTTACATTCAAAAACAGCATTTGCAAAATTGAAATTATGTCAAAATTTCAAGCTTCACAACCCAAACCTAAATAAAAAATATGCTAAATAAAAAAATTCGGCATCACCGAAATATTTAATTTTAATTAATTGAAATTCTGACGTCAATCTAAATTCTTTAATTTTGTTAACAAAAAACAATCTCATATAATACATTTTATAAAAATGGTGGTTATAGCGATATTGGAAATTATCGATAATCATTGAAAATTGAAAAAGTTGGGAATTTGTAAACAAATAAAATCTTTATAGGCAATTGTCCAAATCAATTTACAAAGTTCGGAAGAGCTGTTTATTACAGAAACCTATGTAGATAGGAATTTTAAATAAGTAACAATGTTTAATGAAATTAACTGGTAATGTTATGTATTTGTCTGTGGTGAGATCTATTGATGTTAACGAAAGGTGTGTTATTTACTTACGAATTCAGTTCTTAACGAAATATAAGTCAAAGCTTGCTCTAAAAAGTTTCTAACAATTAAAATGTATTGCGAAATCTTTTCCGCTAAAAATAATCTCAACCGTAGTACTCCAAAACAATACATTGAGCAAGAAATCAATTTACGCGCTATTTACACAAGCTCCCTGACACGTGCAATATATCCGGGGACTGTGCGTACTATCCCATATCCCAGGACCGCACTTTTTACACAAACCATTCAACGTACAGGGAATTTCTCTCATCAGTCTGAACTGGTGCAGCAACCCTCTAGCCTTTCTTGCTATTAGCTGACCGTCCATATACATTGCTGAAAGAACATTAGACACGAACCTTTCGAAAAATGTGGTCTGTTATTAAATTTACCTAATGAACTGAAATGTAACAGCATTTCGTCGGCCCTCAAGTTCTGAGCAATCACGTCGTCAGCGTAGACCGAAATGATAGCCAAGCAGAGGAAGAGGTGGAAATAATCTGTCAAATAATTTGCCCAGCACGCTTCCCACATTCTAAGGGCGACCCCTTCAGTAAACTCTCTCTTGAAGCAACTGCAAAATTAGTATAGGTAAAAACCACATTCTCCATGTGCCTTTTATGCTTACAGCAATATCCATCTGTGGCAAAACAGCAACTCCATGGCGTCTTTGTGTCTTTCTAGGTGATCGTGGAACTTGGGCACCATCAATTTGATCAATTCACGCAAAAATCTCAAACATCGGTCCATGTCTCTATCAGTAGGAGTCGCGACGAAAACGGCCCTTTGCATTAGCCCGACGAAGCACCAAAATGCGGCCACTTCATCTTTTAGTTCATATAACACAGGCGATAACAAGTCGCTCATACCTTGCGTGTACCTAAAATATGGATAGCTTCATTACAGATTCCGTAGTTTTATTTGTACTGTTAAATAAAAAATGTTGATTCTTTGATACTGGCAATCATATTAACAGTCACTATCCTCGATTTAAACGAATCGGTGGCTTGTGCGATATATAGAGCGTTACAATACACTCAAGTAATTCTTAAATTTAAAGAAATATTTAAACTGATATTCCAAAAATTCCTTTCCTTTCAGCAAATATTATTGATCATGCTTCAAATTGCTTGTTGCTTGCACATTCTCCCCTAGTTTTATTAAACCAAACTGTGATATATCATTTATATGAAACACTCAAACTCAAAATTTGACAACTGGTATGCTAGTCTATTTCTTGTTGATCGCTATTATATTCTTTTCCTGTACATTAAAAGTATTTACCCCAAAGCAGGATTATAAATGGCGTAATTTAAGAGAATGTTCTTCATTATCGCCAGGTTTGGATTGTCGTCGCCGGAGAAAAACGGATTGCCTCGATCCGTTCGGATCACATCCTTTTCTACCACGCTTTGTATTTTCCTTTTAAAGTGCTTCAGGTTGTTCCCGTTGAGGTCCAACCTCCTTCTCGTAATTTCATCGTACTCCTGAAAGCAAAAATCATCGAATCACAGCTCTAGACCTGTTGTGCAATAATAATGATAATAATAATGTAATGTAATTTTTCCTGAATGCATAAAAAAACAGTGGAAACTGCGCATTTAGTTCACCACGAGGGCTAGAAAGGAGATAACTATGTGTCAAAATGTATGCCCTACATTTATCGGACAAGTCATAATAAACAAACGTAAGAAAAAGAAAAGAAAACATTTCAAACATCTTCTACTGAATTAACTTACCTACAATATTATTAATATTAATATTAATTATTACTATTAATTTTGGGTCAACGTATCGTTTATGTGAGCATAAAGTGGGCCAAATTCGCAGTTTAAGTGAAGAAAAAAATGCAGACCAACATGGATGAAGAGAGTTAGGGAAGGATGGAACTTATTATGTATATAATTATTTTAAACCATTTGTTTAGTTGCTAGCTACTGACTAAAAAATAAAGACTGAAAAATAAAGAAGATGCCATGGTGGGCCAAATCGGAGGCCTTGAGTTAATCTAATCTACATTTTTATACCTGCCGTCTGATTTCTGCAATCTGTGTCCGGTCCTGAAATGTGCTATTGTAGGGATAAACGTGCAGTAAAAATGGCCACACTTCTTTCCGTATATCCCGATCCATTCCCGCAAAGAACACATACTTCCTCAGTGCCAAATCGTCCTCTATTTGCCCGGAATGGTTGAAAAGCCTCCTAAATATTTCATCGGTCAATTTAGGCATTTGTCCTTCTTCCGGATGCAACTCTAATTGTGACACTTCTGGCCTGCAGACCATGAAGTGGCGGTATGGCAAGTTTTCGTCGCCACCTGCAAAGTTAAGTAGGTTTAAAGGAGGGGGTGTATATAATAAATATAATAATTAAAATAATACGAAAAGTGTCAACAAAAGCATGGATGAGATATAACATTCTGAATTCGCAGAAAGTGAATTTGTTAAATATGTTTTTAGTTTAATGGATTGTTACTAGGATTTGGAGTTCTGGTGAAGGTTGGTGCAAATGTTGAAGTTTCGTTAATATTTTTATGCAAAGAATCCCAACTTAGATATATTGAAATTTAACAACTTAGTTAAAATGTGGTTCTTTTCTAAATCACCTTCTTACATTATGCTAAATAATACAAACCATAAATACACGTTTTCGATTTTCATATATGTATGTAATAACAATAATAAAAGGTGTATAATATTAAATAAATAAATAATTGCAAAATGGAAAAGAGAAACACAGAATTAAAAACGAGAAGAAAAAAAAATACTTTAAGAAAAGTAACGCAGACAAAGTTAAATTTATAAAGCTGCAAAATTGTTTTAACTACAATTGGAATTATGTCGACGTTTTTGGGCGATAGAATTACAAAATTTAATTTGATACTAAGACATTTATTTGTTGAAATTTTCTGAAATAGGTAAATACATTAAAGATTGTCTGCAATAGGTATGATAAAATTCATACAAATTAAAAACTACTGCAATAACAAGGATCTTATTCTTACTCATAAAAAAACCATTATAGCATTGTATTTGAAATGCCCCTTATAAGCGACATTTGTTAAAAACATGCCTAATATAATTATTAAAATACTTATAGGGTATTTCATTGAAAAACACAAGTTTGTTTTGTATATCAAAATTTGTGAGTTGTAGTGAGTTGTCCACTTCATTGGACCTTAAGTTAATAATCCTATCCAGATCACTGTTCAGTTTATCGATAAGTTATTGCACAAAGGTATTTAAAAGTCCAAGATGCATATGACAATTCTGTTTGTGACACCTTTTATTTCATTAAAAAACAATGATTTAGTAGGCATTCTAAGAGATTCGCGAAGTGTCCTCATTTTTTGTTTACACAACACAACTGCCCGAAATGCTGTTTAAATAAAAAATAAAGACAGTGGAAGTTCATCAACCAAATAATAGGCAGACAAAGAGTACATTTTCATTTACAATGTTGTCCAGCCTCTGGAATGTCATAGATCGAATATCATCGAATATCATCAAATACCTTTGACGGATTTAATATTATGCAGCAGCGAGTGCCACTGATGCAACACCTGTGCCAAGTGATCCAACCCGCCGTGGTGAAAATGAAGTATCTTGTATTGCGACTCCCTCGAAGCGACTACCAGCTGTCCGCATGTGCAGCTATTATCGCTGAAGAACAACCTGAGCGATCGCATCTGGCTCAAGTCTACACTGAACCGTCTACATCGATGCGGATTCCTGCTGTGTAAAATCGGGGAGCTGCTAGCGCTTTCCGGAAAAGTCATGTTGTGTTTTTGGATGAGGTATTCCGGAGTAGCGATCCAGTTGTATTGACTGTCCGTCGAAGTAACACTAGCCGACCTACTGAACTGAAACTGTTCCGATTGATCCTTGACGCTATCCGGAGTCTGGATGATTTCTATGTGGGGATTGGAGATATTCACGTTGATGTTTATTCCGATTTTGTCGCCGTCATCGCTATCGCATGATTTCTCTTCGAAATTTAAAAACGGATTTGTACTTTTCAATTCTATGGTCGTAGGCCTCTCGTTAGAGAAACTATTGTTTGAGTCGTTGGAATTGAGGCTTTCCAAACTGCTCTCCTTTTTGTATTTGCTATTTTGAAGCGGCAGGTTACATTTGGAAAGGTCGCTGTTCGGTATCCAAGTTAAAAACAATGTGGGCCGCTTACTGTTATTGTACTGATCGACGAATATTTTCGCCGTTACTGTCAGATATCCAGGATTGTGCAGTATGTCGTTTTCGTGTCGCATCATCGCCGGGGGGTGCACGCAGATGTTATTTTTGCAAAACAGCACTTCGTTGTTCTCGTAGCCGGTTTTCTCGGAAGATTCCTCGTAGCCGAGGATGTACGTGGACGCTCGGCGTATTATATTCGACAGAGGCATGTCTGCAATAAATGAAGTAAATTGTTTCAAGACATTTATCGTGCACCATAAAGAAAAAACGGCTGGTCAATTTAAAAGAAGTGTGCTTTTCTTTGTGAAATGTGAAATTTATTAATTTTCGGGTTTTACATCAGAAGGATTCAAAAGTTTGATAGGTTTGTCGAATAAACTAATTTTATGACAGTTTCATTATGTAGGGCAAAAATTGACGCGTTAATGGTATATTATGCACCCGAACCGTTAAGATAAAGTGTTTGAAATCGGAAAAAATATTCATTTTTTGGAAAAAACGTTGAAAAATGAAAAAGTTATTTTTCAAAAAATGCTGTAAATTTCTACCGGCCACCGCCTTTTCTGAGATTGAAACTCAATTAATGCCGTAATTATTAGGGCATTCAAAAAGTAGCGAGCCAGTTTCATTAAGCAATAGCTATTTCAGTCGCTATTATTATTTCCTTTACTTTACTTTTCAATATTGATGAATTAAATATACTTAGATGTCATACCGTTCAGCTTTTTTGGGTTGCACAAGAAATTTCCATTAAAACACACTCACGATCCCCGAAAAATATAAAAAATGTTATTCATTTTATAGAACCAACCTCTCCGAACCTCGATACTCAACGATCGACCTTATAGCCATATCTGGTCCACTGAAATATTGATCCAGTCCCCACGCGCAAATGTCAGAACGCTGGCGTGCTCCGGAATTTCAAATAGTTTATTAATTCGAATTTCAGTATATGAAAGGCAAAAAACGAAATTTCGTGTATCAAAGGATACGAATTTCGGAAACGGATATATATATATATATATATATATATATATATATATATATATATATATATATATATATATATATATATATATATATTCTCACGTATTGATTCACGGATGGAAAAATATGATGACACTATATTCCGGGATATCATCCGTTCGCTCGTTGAACTCCGACTGGAATCCTGCATCCGACTGGAATCCTGCAAATCCTGCATCCGACTGGAATCCTGCAGGATTCCAGTCGGATGCAGGATTTGCAGGATTCCAGTCGGATGCAGGATTCCAGTCGGAGTTCAACGAGCGAACGGATGATATCCCGGAATATAGTGTCATCATATATATATATATATATATATATATATATATATATATATATATATATATATATATATATATATATATATATATATATATATATATATATATATATATATATAGGGGATGGGTTAAGTTAATCACAAAAAATTTGCTGATATTCCAGAATTCTTGAAAACCAAGACTCAAACCAAGTAATGTTTTAAATAATTATTTGAAAAAATGAATAATGCTAGAGTACTATAAATGTTGAAAATTACATAATTTTTATTTATAAAATTCCGGGGTGTCCATTCGAATATTGGACACACTTTATCAAGTTTACATGTAGATGGATAATCGATGTTATCGATTCAATTTCAATATCTATTCTTGAATGCTGATAACTTTAGCAAAAAAACTCGCCTTGACCGAAGAATAGAATAAAATATCAAGTATCAAGTAAGTAATGAACTAGAAATAAAATGCAACATTATATCACTATGAATGTCTAGGGATACATAATCAAAAAATGTGTTAAGTTTGTACTGTTTTTGCAGTTTTTGAGGTATATAAATCAAAATTTAAGTTTGTAACGTAAGTTTTATTTGTTTTTAGGGCAGAGAGTTCAATTTTCTCCCCCAGACCTTTTAGCAGTGCGCTACTGGTAGACTCTCAAATACAAACTCAAATTTAGTACTTCTTGCATTCGCAACTGCTACCCATTATAGAGGAAAAAATTGAAAATTATTCTTCGGTCTTCACTAACTTTAAAATTTTTCACGAAGCAATGAGAAATAAATGTGGGTGTTACTGTTATTATCACTTTGGCGTTTTTGTTCCATTTCAATAGTTACTACTAACATTTCTTATTATTTTAATGCTTGTTTATGGGTAATCATTTGTTTTTTCGGCATTAAAATATACTATCCTAGGCGCTCATAAAGTGAATGGTGCACCTAAAAATAAACACCGAGAACGTTTTCCATCTGTCGACACCTGTTGATATCCGTATTTCCACCCTATTGATTTTCCTGCGACATCTGACAATGCGCGTACCACAGCAGCAGCTGGCAGTCGGTAATACGTATTTCCACAATCATTTTTCCAGCAACTAGAGAGTTCGACAAATCGCGAAATGGAGGATTTGCTTTTGAATCTCGTGAAAGAAGCGGGTAACTCGAAACTGACTCACCTGAAGCAAAAAGCACAAGAAGCCCACGGTGAGTAAAACATGTGGGCGAATTGAGTCAAAGGTTTTATCGAAAATTTTCTCCGTGCGTTGTGTTTATTAATAAAACTAGGATGCCGTTGTCGATAGCGCTCAAGGTTGTTCTCGTGTGTGGGACGATTTAGCTTCAATTTGAATGATTGCTTCTGCTGAATGATTAATTCGAATAACGTTATTGTTAATAGTGCGCTTTGGTGCAGTGGAAAACGTTGAAAATAATAATCACCTACCGAAAAACAAGTTTATATTTTAAAACATGTGATTATATAAATAAAATTATTTTTGTTAAAAACGAAAAAACTTGCTAAATCAAAAGCAAGGTTAAATTTAGCATTTTATATTTTTTTTAATATCACGTGTACCAAATTAAGGTTTTTCAAATTTTGCAGAAACATTCTTAACAAATCTTAAAAGGTTGTTGGCTGTTTCATTCTGAAATTTGGGTTCTTCATGCAAGTTTTTTTTAGAGCCGTTAAAACCCGGATAATTCACTCTGTATATTCAAGAAATGATCTATTAAAAAAATTGCAAAAGTGGTAGTCTCTTGATTGACAATAAAATTCTACGTTGTAACTACTATTAACACTCCTACGATAGCCAATCGTTAGGAGTGTTAATGGTAGTTACAATGTCGGATTTCGAATTTTTTGGACTCGGACTAGACGGCGGCATATTTGATTTCGTTGCATCTAACTATTACGATTCTTAGATTTGTTAGCCTCCCAAAATAACTTAATGCGAAACCCTTCCTACGAGTTGAGATCCGCATGCTTTGTCGCACTTAAACTGGCACTGGAGAGTAAGAGGAGCAAACTGGTTTCGCTAGCTCTGGGTGGATTTAATGTAAGTAGTTTTTCAGTAATCGTTTGTCTCCATCAAAAGAACTCGAAAATGATACTCAAAAAATTAAAACTGGTTTTAAGAGTGCATATAACCCAGTATAAACCTTTTTCTTATAAATAACCCGTCAATTTAATCACAAACTAGAATGCGTATTCTTATTTACACGACCTCAGAGTTGGTCAAAATTGGAATTTCAATATCCATGTTCTCAATGCATTTTTAAATTAGTAATTTGAGGAAGCACGATCATTGCCAGTTTTAAAGATTTGTTTTTGAAAAATTTGTATATTTGGTAGTTTCTAATTGGACATTTGTTAAACCTACAGCATCCGTGATCCTTAGCTTCTATCAATAGAAAAATGTTACTGCCACTTTGGTAGATCTCCCAAATGTTTCTTAGCTCATTTTATTGAGTCGAATTGTTATTCATTTCAAAACTAACCAATATAACCAGATTAACCTTTTTTTCCACAATTCATAGCTTATATTTTAGCCAACCTGCCTATTTTTTTTTAAGGAATATGAATTGAAAACAATCATCACGATAGAGTTAAGTAACTATAGAAAATTGAAAAATAAATTAACACCAAAAACCCTTTTTCAAAAAAATTGTATCTCAAAAATTGGCTTACCCATTTCTAGTGTCCGGCAAGTTATTATCGATAAAACCAAATAATTACATGAAAATACAATCCGGTTTTCTTTCTCTAATCGAACGAACATCACAAGGGATATTCTCAAGAATTGACAAGACAGGTTTTATTTATATACATATATATTACATTACATTATAATAATAAACTGGCTCGGCCTGAACTAATTTTTAAAAAAGTTGTATTAAAAACTAATTATTGTGCAAACTATTAACAATTTTACAAAAAAAAAAAAACAAATCAACTAAGATCGGGGTGGTGTTCGCTTTGCCAGAAAATAGTGAGGGACGAGCGTTTCCAAACGGGCGTTGAACCAGAAGACGACTCGTTATGGCTTCCAGCACAACTTCTTCTCGCCACGTCTTCTATGCTTTCTCATTGCGAAGACACCCAAGTCCATATATTAAGGGTGGTACTGAATTTGGCTTGTACTGCGAGCTGGGCCCTTAATGGAAGACTGGTAATGTTGCTGTTGAGTAGATGCGGTGATGCTTACGAAACCGGAACTCAACCAATCAGAGCAGCAGCCCAAGCTGCTGCTAGTCAGACACTGACAGTGTTTTGTACATTTTTAGGTAAGTCTAGAACCTCAACTCTTCACTTTCCTCAAATTTTTGTAATTTAATTCTCGTTTTCGAGGTTAACGCTTTTTTGTTTTCTTGTCGAAAACTCGAAATATTTAATAGACTTCTTTCAAGTTAACAATATAATGCCAATTGAAAATATCTAACAAATCCAACATCAAAATGTGTGAGAAAGCATTTTTCGATGATTATCTGAGAATATTGAAATTGTACAAAACTTACCAGTGAAAATATACTGAGGCCTGCCAAGTGGTAGCAATATAAGAATTATAAATGTGTGCTTCATTATATATTCTAGAAAATATATCAAACTAAGAGAGATGTTCAGAAAAAATATTAATATTTGCGATCGGTTTTTAGATGAGGAGTGTCAGGAGATACTGCAACAGCAACAAAAGCACAAGAATTCAGGCAGTAGCGCCGAAGTGTATATGAAGACTTCCGCTGTCGCATGCTTCAACGAGGCCATACCTGTCACTCAGTACATTTGTAGTAAACTGGAGGAATGCAAAACGTACGCAATAATGTCATAACTAAATCTACATCAGAAAAAAGTATAGAACAATTGCCCACTTGTTTGAAAAAATTTGAATAAATAAACGTGAAAGGAGAAAACATCAATATCCAATTAAAAAAAGACCTTTGGATAAGGGATGCAAAGAAGTATGGACCTATGTGGTTTGAAATTAGAGTGAATTATTTTTTTTGAAAATTTAAATGAAGTGTTAAAACACTTAAGTTAGAATAAAAAAATGGTCAGATTTCCACAATTAATTATTATTTTATGACAGCTGTTTCGATAACATAGTAATAGATTCTTAGTTACTGGGGTAGTATTATAAATTTAAATTTAACAACGGAGACGCATCTAAATCCAATTAGTCATTAAGTAATAGATTCGAATATCCCATTTTATTAATCACCATAGCATCGAACAAATTTAGTTTTTTGCCTTTCATTATCTCGAATATCAAAAGTATCGTAAAACTTGCCTATTTCTGAATTTAAAGAATGGCATAGTTTGAATCCAAACATCTATTTTTATATGCCCACCTCAGCAAACAATAAACAGTTTAATCAGTCAGTAATAAATGCAATAATTTTAATGGATCTGATGACACCATTTTGATGGGCTTCGCAAACATTTTTCAGGATGCCAAAATCGAGTGATCTGACCGTTTTTCTCCTGGAATGCTTGCTAACGCTTGTCAACACATTGCCCCACAGCGTTCACTCCAACTTCCACTTTACGACTTTCTTGTGGCAAAAGTTTTGCCCCGCCTTGCTGTCTTTGCTCGGCTCTCCCGGAGATCCTACTGGACAGGTATTGACCACCAGTCAGGCAAAGATAATTTACAGGTAAAGTCGGCGCAAAAATTTCGTTGTCCAAGTGCAACCGATCAATATTGCAGCATTGGTATTCAAGTCGTACGTCTAGTAGGGAGAGAACGACCGCTGCGACCTGTACTTGAAGCCCTGTTTCATAGGATTCTACTGTTGCCCAGCCCACAAAAGAGATTAGAGCCATTGAGAGCTGCTAGGGAACTTTTAAGGTCGCCCGGTAGATTGGTGGATTTGGTGCTGTTAAGCGGTCCAATTCATAGACACGCCGGCGATGATATGGCAATTATAAGACTGTAAGTGTAAAGTTACTTTCCAACCAAAGAGTTTGCAATTGAACACGTGGGATATTAACAGGATAATGGATTCCATAGAAGAATCTTCGCAGTGCAATGAATCTGCGGTTGTCCTCGCTAGTGTGGAGTGTGTGGGGGCTCTGCTGGGTTCACTGGAAGCGTTGTGCAAGGGAGACGGTTTGACTCAGGACACTGCAGACATTACCAATTCCAGATATACAGTCTTGGAACAAGCCGATTACACTGGTCCTTTGACCTATCAATCTCTGTCCAGATTGCCAAAACCTTACAGGTAAAGTAACCCTTTGGTTCAGGGCAAACTATACTTTGGAACAATAATTTACAGAGACGTGGTTGCTAATCTGAAGTCTCTAAGCGACTCAGACAGTAGCGGCATCGAAGGCAACATACGTGACGTAGACGGCGAAGAGTCGGATTGTTCGGGTGCCACGGAGGGACCCGAAGAAGAAATTACTCATTCCGATGATAGCATCATGGACGACGAGAGTTTTCTGACCAGTCAACAGCTTCAGAAACTGTATAAGCTGCCCAAATCACTGATTTTGGTAAGTTATTTTCTTGTGGGTAATAAACCACGTCGGCACTTGGCAAATTTTTGGCTTACTCTGAGGTTTACCTTTTAGGGTAGGACAGGTTTGGATGAATGCAACACCGACATCGAAAGGCACAACTCCAGGCATTTTGTGAAAACGCTACAACACATACTTTTGCCAAATTTGTTATCTCTGAGGTCTTCCATTCAGGTAACCGCTGGATCTATCGCAGCAGCTTGAAGCACCGGCTGCTTTTTTGCCACTTTCAATGGAGCCCTTAACTAGATTTCACTTTTGAAAATATTCATTGTTTTATTGTAATGCAAGTGTTGAAAGTTGTGGCTTCTGAGATTTTTGAGTATTTATAATTATTCGCCTGCTTCGCATGATCTACATACTACAAGGCCTAACAAGTAATTTTTTTTGCCTTTTCGATTAAAAAATGAAATCACGTGCTTATTTTTATACCAAGAAGTGCTATCGTAATGAATTATGTTTTTATTTCACATAAATTACATGACAAAATATCAAAAACTTACCGAATTTGCTGACAATTAAATATTCGGACGCATTTAAATATTTTACTTTAAATCGAACATTAATAAGAACTAACATCACCTTTCGTGGCTTTTATGCGTTTTGGCATGGAATCTACCAAAGTCTTGCAATATTCGGGTGTGAAAGTGTTCCAAATTTCGATGATTTTTGACTTTAATGCTGCTGTACGCTGAGGATTGTTATGCAAAGTCTTTTTCATCCGATACCATAAAGTTTCAGTAATATTTAAGTCGGGGCTACTTGATGGTCACGATAAAACTTTCATATTATGGTCCCCAAACATCTTTTTTGTTGTTTTCGCAGTATGGCAGGACGCACCGCCTTGTTGAAATAGAAAATTTTCATTTCCAAAAGTTCGTTCTATTGATGGAATCAAACTTCTTGATAAAATTTGTTGGTTTCTGCATTTAGAGTACCATCAATGAACTCGTAGTTGCCAACCCCTTTACCACTCATACACCCCCATATCACAACACCCTGGGGAAATTTTACCCTGCGCTTTAGACAATCCTTGTGAAAGGCTTCTGATTTTGTACGAATCACCCTGTTTCGAAAATCGCTTACACACACATCAAATTTTGATTCTTCGCTGAAGATAACGTTACTCCACGTTTCCGTGTCCTGGATTTTATAGATTTTGCCCAATCCAAATGTTTTTTCTTCTGAATAATGGTTTTTCCTTTGCCTTTAACAAAAGCAGATCATATAATATTAATAATTTTTCTATTGGCACAAGAAAAATTGTAAACTTACATCATAAAGACTCAAACCAGACTTATGCATCTACAACATTCCCTGGAGACATTTAAATTTGCCTCGTGATTCCATGGGGCTTGAATTTGTCGTAAGACGCTTCGTCTGCTAGTTTTACAAATATTGACCAGAATACGACGATCTCTATCAGTGATTTTACGAGGTCGGCCTGAACTTTTACCACGAACGCTAACATTAGCTGTCTCTCCATACTTTTTTATTTATCCCCGACTGTTGATTTTGCAATCTCAAGTCATTTGAAATTTTTTGCATTGATTTATAATTTATAACTCCAACACAGGAAACCAAAAACATTTTTTTTATAAGCCAAAAATATTTTATCGTCTTTCCAAATGTCAAAAGTATCGGTAACATGTTACATCACCTTATACATACTTTGACGCCCATCTGGTGTACTGTATAGTATAATGGAATTGTCAATAGGTAGACGAGGTGCTCCAAGAGTTTGCATCCAAATGTTGCCAACATAATTCGGCACAGAACTATGAAATTCCAACTATAATGAACGCTGACGGCGTATACCTAGCGACGTATTCCGCGTTACTGCTGGATTTGAAGCTCATCCAAGCAGGTCATCATGACGACGTAAAAAAGGAGGCACGTCAATTAGTAATAGAGAGCCACAATAATTAGAAGTTCTTTAAATTTTAGGCGGCTGTGCCGATAACGGAAGCCCAGTTTGTAGAAGAAATTCACGGTAGTGGCATATTGGTTTACGTATCTGCCACATGGCTGTGCGAGCTCTATCAAAACGTGTTGGCAAAATCACTTCTTCTCTCGGCCGGCTACGATCCGAAAAGTAGGCAGCAACCCGCCTTGATCAATTTGTTAACTGGTAAGTTGTAAAACGCGATGCCATGTTGATGAAAGTACCAAATTTAACGTTCCAATAGTGAACAAAGTCAATCGCAGATAACCTTACGACTGACTATCAGGTCTCTTATACTATAGTGGTAAAGGTCAAGAGTTAAGCATTTAAGCATTTACATATATTGCTATTGTAGCTTGCTTGAACTGAGGCCAGAACAATAAAACTACAACCGTGAAGTGCTAAATATGACAAAATTATCATTTCTGAAGAGCAGATTAGAATTAAGTTAAACAAACTAGATATAAATAAAGGCCCTGGGCCAGACAAATTGCCCCTATATTTGTACGGAATCTTTGCTGCTACCTCTATTTTTACTCTTTAATAAAAGTTTACCAGAAGGGCACTTCCCGACTATTTGGAAATGTGGCAAAGTCTGTTCATGTATATAAGAAATTAACTAACTGATACAAATTAAGGAAAGACCCGGGCAAGCTGTAAGAATGAAATATGGCCGAACAGTTCCGTACATTGCTTAGAATTTAATTATTTGGGGTTTTGTTAGGAAAGATACTAAACAATATTTACTTATTTATGTATGTATTTATGTTTAAATCTAAAATAAAATTACAAATTATTTATTACCTACTTAAAATACCTAAAATTATTCACATAATATATCAGTATTACTATCGCTATCATCGCCTGTTCTAATGATTATTTGTTCTAATTATTTGCAATATGGATATACGATTGTTCTGCTTTTTCTATATGTTTAACAGAATTTGCCCAATTTTGTGGAGGGATGTTAAAAACTTCGGTTTCTATAAGTTTGAGGACATTGGAGTTAACACGGGGAAAAGCATTGTTGCGACGAATGGCAGATTTCAGTTGGTGCCAAACATGTTCAATGCGATTAAATATACAGTGGTAAGGTGGAAGCCTTAAAACTGTATGTCCTATATTTTTTGCATAATTATCACACACGTATTCCTTTTGTAGGTTCAAGCGTTATAGAACCTCAATTAATTGCTTTTTGGTATAATCTTCGTGAAAAGAAATGTCGTTATTATATATGTAGTTTTGGATTGTTGGTTTTGTGTCACATGAGGAAGGGGTTTTAGTCAACTGTCTACTGTGATAACTTGCGTTGTCCATTTCAATTACGTTATTAGGAGGAATGTTTGGAACTAGTTTTTTCAAATAAATCAGGGGTGGTGTCTTCATGGTAATCCAGAGAAGAATCTTTAATATTTTTTGCAGACAGAGAAACTCCATTTGGAATCCAACGATCTTTGGAGTCAGCATGCAAAATAGTTATTGTTTTACCTCTTTTTGGTGGCGCGTTTACTTTACACTCATCAGTTGAGTCAACCAAACCCTTTTCCGGGATATCATAAGTGTTGAACCAGGTTTCATCCAAGTAAATAATTGGCCTTTGTTGTTCTCTGTAAATCCTAATTTTTTCTAGATATTCCAGTCGCAATTTCCGAATTCTAAAAGATTCCATTAAAACTTGCCTTTTGTCAAATTTTTTAAATCTAAGACCCATTGTGTTGAATACACTTCCTTAAGATAGTTCTGCCACATTTAACACCGGTTTCATCTTTTTCAATTAAGATATCTAATTAATGTAGGCACGCTTTGTTCCTCGTATAATTGGTAAATTTTACGCCGCATTATATCTTGATCACTTTCGTCTTCACCCGAGAAAATGTCAGCATCGCTTCTTTTTTTCCTCGCTGAAATGGGATTATTCACAATTTTCCATACAGTTGATGTTGAAATTTTCGTCAATGTTGAAGTTTGTTCTAAAGATGCTTGCTTGCTGGCACCACGTTCAATGAGAGTCAAGTAAACATTGTTTATAACTTCCTTAGTCTCAATAGAATAGTGTTTTCTACATTTGGGCGTGAGCATTTCCTGAGATACACTAGACTCGCACATATTTTGCATAATTCGCACACGATTCAACACACGCTGTATTACACACGAAATAAGAATGTGTACTAATAAACTTAAACTAAGTAGTATACCAAACCAAAGAATATTAAACACAGGTAGATATAAAAATTTTTTCTATTACGGACCACAATTTTACCTGAATTTAAATTCCGAAATTTTAGGTAATAATCTTGTTGCATTGTATGTTAATGACCACCCTTGGATAATCCCATTCAAAAGCAATTGGTCGCTTTTTTAGATCTATGAACAGACGATACTTGTTCATAAGAGTGGCAGTGAGATTGATATCATAAACTAGGGACCCATATAAATTCTTCTTATTCCAGGGAAAATGCTTGAGGTTATTATAAGAGAGAAATTATTTTTTAAAATTTGGTACGTCCTTGGTGAAACGCAACACGGTTTTTTAATGGTAGCTTCATCGCCACACTTCGTCACTATATGTTCAGGACGTGTCTGAGGCGTTAGATAATAGAATGCAAATGTGTGTACACCAATTTCTCCAAGGAATTCGATAAAGTACACCATCCTACAATGTTAGTAAAACTTAAAAACTTCGGTGTGCACGGTTCTTTTTAAAAACAGTTTGTTGAGTTAAATATGGATACCACGTCTGGCACACCTCAGGGATCGCACTTGGGGCTTATTCTGTTTCATGTGTTCTTAGTGGACTCGGATAAATGTTTTCGTTTTGCAAAATTTATTTCATATGCTGATGACCAAAATAGGTTTTATGATTACTGCTTAGGAAATCGATTGTTTTTAAATAATGACAAATGTTACTATCTTAAGGTCACTAAATTAAAAAATGATATAGATCAGGGATCTCGGAGAATCTTGGCAAATGAGTTTTTAAATTCATATTGAAAACATAGTGAGAAAGATGCCAAGTCGCCGGTCGTACTCTATAACGCCCATGTGGAGTCCCCGATATAATAAGTATGTAAACAGAATTAAAAACAATCAAAAAATGTTTATTTTTCTCACGAACTTTATATATAACCACAATCTTATAGATGTAGTATATGAAGCAAGCCCTGACTTCTATCATATGTTGAAATTATCTGTTAGGCGAATAACATATAGTGCCATTTTTTTGTACAAAACTATTGCAAAATTATCCTTTAATACTACGGTGGCAAGTACAAATTTAGGAAGCAGCTCACCTGTAATGAAATTATTACAGTTTGCATATATTCAAAAAATCAACCAATAAGAGTGTTTCGCTAGGACTAAATTAAATTAAATTGTACATTCTTCCTTGTTTTTCTTTTTTTTTTTGGGATTTAGAAATAGTTTTGATTACTTTTACATTAGAATTAGAATATTAGAATACAATTTAAAAACTTCTATAATTAGTTTGTGTTTTTGAATTGAATTAGCCGTAAAAATAAGACCCATAATGTATTTTTAGATGTCGGTGGTCTATCGCCGTCTCAGCTCCTAACAGACTGGCAAAAACTTCAAAAAGTTCACGGGAGCCCGGAAAGCAGCCCCGAAATTGAGGCGGGCATAAAGCTTTCACGCAGAGTTTTGACCTGCTGTTGGTCGTCTGTGGTGTCCGTTTTGGGAACGCCTTTAAGAGACAAGCCTCCGCTTGGCGGTACTTCTGCATTAAGCCGACTTGTCGCCCGCAGGGCCAGACAAAAATACCGTCAGAAAGTTAGAGACGACATTATTACTGCTAGCTTGGAGGGTTTACACAAGGTATAGTTCTAAACTCGTTGAAACCGGCGCACAGTGAGTCAGGGAAACCGTGTGTGGTTGACTAATTCGATTTTTTTGTAATGTCAACAAATTTTACTTAATATTAATAAAATCACAACAATAAATAGAAAAAATGATTACGAACGTCAAACTTTAATACAATATAATTGTACACAGAAAAAAAGTATATTTACAAACAGTTTTTAATTAAATCATAAAAACGGTTTCATAACACTAAGCAAAATGTAGAAACATTTCGAATTAATTATATTTAAGTAAATAAAAAAAAAGTAAACAATTTAACAATTTAACAAAAAAAGTTATTTATTTAATATTGATTAAAACAAAATATTTTCATCGGATTTTTCAAAATATTTAAGTTTTTTTGCTTGAAAGAAACGAATTAAAACAATAATAGGGTTTTTATACATCTAAAGTATTATTCAGTTAAGCACTTTGCTCTGTTTTTGTTACAATTTTTGCATTGCAATAAGAGCGTTCAGTTAAGTTTTGATTTATAGTTGGTTTTAGTATCAAAAGAGCATGACAACCCATAGTTAACAAAAATTATGACAATACCTTTCCCTATTGAAATACCAAAAATAATAACATTGTTTTACATGAATCAAACTTAAGTTACACTATCGTTCTATAAAAAAAAAGGAAACAAATTTATATATTAATAGGTCAAAACTTATAACGAAAAACGTTTTTCGTCGTTTTTTTTTTGCCCACTCGGTAAGTTTTTTAAAAATTATTATTATGAAATGGAGCAGGTGGGATATCAATAGCATCCCTAAAATGGTAACATATTGCTTAATAAATTAAAAGCACACTTTTTTGGCCAATTTTTCTAATATAACTCAAAACAATGTAGGATTTTTTAGGATAATTGCCTTTTAGAGTAATTTACTTAGCACAAAATTGATCTCAAAACTTACCTTTACTGGCTTCCTACATTTTTTTAATTTCTTTAAGAAAATCCTCTCCACTTTTCACACAGAAAATTGTATGAATAAAACATTCACAAAATGTCACAGACAACAAACGTTACGAAATTATTGTTGACGTTTCCATGGTAACAAGAGGACTTAAATCGCTTATTTTGTGAAGGTTCACGGCCTAGTTAATTAGTCTGTGATAAGGAAAACGTTTATTGTACGAAATTTATATGGTTCATTTCAATAGTTGGGGCTCTCCCTGGCACACCTTGCGGCGTATTTATCACAATTTCCCTCTCCGATTTCTTGTTTTTATTTACAAAAACCCCCTTCTATACAATTCCAATTGTCGTTTAATTTTCTTGTTAGAGCAAAATGTTTACATTTTATTTGATAAAGTAAAGCACACATTTTGAATTTCGAAACCTTATTTTTCAGGCTGCAAGTTTGAGCAATACATTGAAATTACAAGCAAGAAGCAGCAGTATTCTATCACTGCTTTCAGCGTCGTCTTGCAAAAATCAATCCTCCAAATTGTTGGCATCGCACGCGCTGTCTCTGGACGTCCTATTGTCCAAAGGTTAATAATATGCACAGGAGCTGTCTTAAAAACTTTCTCGCTTAACTAATTTCTAGGATTGGAGTTGGGTTGCTATAGCCCTGCCTGTTGGCCGCACGTGCTCAGCGCTTGCATATCGGTTGCTGGTTTAGAACATTGCTTATTCAGCAAAACTAGTTCGACCCAATTACTGATGGTCGCGCAAAGCACCCAGAATAGTATCGTGACCTCAACCACCAAAAACGATGCGCAAGAGAAACCCCAGATGACATTTAACTGCAACAGCGACGAGGAAACGTGGTGAGAGCTTACCAAGAGATGTAAGGCCCGGGTAACAGCTCTCTAAATTGCAGCATCGACGTCTACAACTTCCTGCACAGTTATTCGTTGCCTTGCGAAGTGAATTCTAATGAAACGACGGTCAGCGATATCGTAGAAAAAAGTGGCGCAAACAACGCCCAAGGACAGGGCGTTCTGAGGGGAGTCTACGCCGCCAAGGTCTGCTGCGCCCTCTCGCAAAAGGCTGACGAATTGTTTAACTCGGCCGCTCTACGCTTGTCTTTGCCCGGGCTGTGCAGCTTTATGACCGAATTGTGCAAAGCTTCACACGCACAGGTAGGTTTCCGAATATAAGTACAGTGTAGCTCGTTTATTATGAGATGCTACCTTTATAATTTTATATTGAGATATTACATTAGGCTAATTGTAAGAACTCTCTTCTTTCTTATTTTGGAACACCCCGTGCACTAAATATTTTTTTAATTCTTCAGACGTCAAAAGTGAAATTCGTATATCAGATAAATCAGATAAATACAGGGTGATCAAAAACATTAAAAATTATAATTTTAGTATAATATAAGTACTCCATTTTTATAATTCTTATTTCGCAATATTTTTACCAGAAGAAGAACCCGAAATATATGAAAAACATGTCTTAGCCTTAGAAAATTCAAAATTATACAAGGTATTCTATTTAAAGTAAACAGTAAAAGTAAATCCAAATAACTTCTGGTTTTAAGGTTTTTTTAAATATTCTTTATAGATTTTTTTGTTTAAAACTTTCATTTTTAGTTGGTTAATATATTTATATTATATTATTTGATTGATTTTTCGCTTTGGTCACAAGCGTATACACGAAATTAGCTTAAGGTATCTTAGTAAATTGTCTACTTTAAAAATTAAACCGGTTAATTAATTTTTTGAGAAGCTTAAATTTGGAAAAAGCTTATTTTAATTTCTTCAAATAAGTGAGATACCCAACAAAACATACGAAAACTGGACATTTAAGAGTACGTAAGAGTAGTAAGAGTAAGTAGTAAGAGAGAGAGTATTTAAGTGGCATTTGGCACAGTAGTACGTCTTTTTTAATAAAATGGCAGCTTTTCGTACGCTACGAAGAGTCCCCGAACGTGCCGAGGAAATGGTGGAAAAAAGAACTACAAGTCCAGCAGAAACCTCCGCCCACCCTCCTCCTGCACAGGATCGGCGAGGTGATGCTCAAGTGCATCAAATCCGGACGTCCCCTCATTCATATAATGAAGGTGTGGTCGATCGTCGGGCCACATTTTATGCAGGCCGCTTGCCACAAGGATCGAATCATATCGAAAAAAGCAGTCACCTGCATACACGATTCCGTAACTGCGCTGTTGAACGAACAGGCTGAGTTACCGCACTTCCACTTCAACGAAGCTCTAATCAAACCCTTCGAAAATTTGCTCTGCTTGGAACTCTGCGACTTAGACGTGCAGGTACTGCTAGATGTTAAAAATAAAAGCATTGCGACTTAGAAGGTTGATGAGACATTTACGACATATATCAATTTATTTTTATTAATTTTTAAATTTAGATTTGAGATTTAGAGATCGATGACCCTTTATTAATTTTAAAGCAACTTTACAGATAAAAAAGAGATAAAGAGGCCGTATCTATGCCGATAATACAGAGACTATATTTTTTTGAGAAGAGGCGCATGCGCGAGATTTAAAATTTCGATGTCAATTCCAGAACCTTGTAAAGTGTTCCTTTTTTTCCTCCACTGTTGCTGCTTCTTGTTATTTGTTGCGCGACATTCATTGTTGGTAAACATCTGCAACATTTTTAGCACACTAACGTTATGCTACAAATAAATAAAACCAATGCTAGTGGCCGTGAATACCCCAAACAGGATGTCTCATGGGTCTAAAATATTTTCAGCATTATTGCCCCTTCTATGATTTGTTAAATAAAATGCCGTGTATGGTGGTCCATTTAGCAGTTTTCGACAGATTATATATTAATTAATTTATACATTTTTCGACCGAATTTGGCACGAATTAAAATTTGTTTTGCTAAGGCACTAGTTTTTTGTGGAAAAATACCTTTCACAATGAACAGGGTGTGTAAAAAATCACGGTTTTACTGCCTTGTACACAATTGTCCAAAGGTCAAATTTTTCAAATGGAACGCTCTACGTAGTATCTTCTTCTTATACCTAAATTATAAGTTTTAAGCAAATTCTAGCCGTTGTTTGCCTAGAATGTCTAATATTACATCCACTGTGAGACACCCTGTAGATTTAACTGTCTTAATCACTCAGCCAATATATGTGCGATGTATCTGCCTATGACGTCACATATTTTTATATATCAGACGAGGGATGTCGAAATAGTGATTCTATACTACTGTTGGCCATATACCAGGTTTTAGATATTCTTATTGACCGGTCTTCTAGTATTTTCTTGGACGAGGACTTCTCCATTTAATTTTTATGAATATACAGTGTGTAAATGTTAAGGATCTTAAGGATGGGAATCTCAGTACCTGTTTCAGATACAGCTTAGGATAAATCTACTACATGCAGTTACGAAACTTGAAAATTTTCATGGCTTGCTGAGATAATTGGGTAAGACGGGAAATTGGCGTTATCGATTTAATTTTTTTATGGCTTTATTTGAAGAGACTCCAAAAAACTAATAAACCTTTTGCAGTAGTACTTTTAAATTATTCTTTCGTTGCCAAAGATACCCTCCAACTTGCCTACAATTATGTGCAGGGGCACCGCCTTCTTGAAACCAACAGCTATTGGCCTGTGTTAGAGGTAACTTATCTAAATAAGCTTCTAAATCATTTTGCAATAAATGGAGATATCGTTCTGCTCTTAATGAATTATAATTCCAGATCACATATTAAACCATCGAAGTTCTGTGATATCTCCAAATTTTGTTAATACGGTGATTTTGTTGAGCCTAGTAATGCGTATTGCGGCCATTGAAGATACCATACTTTCGTCAAATCATATGATTTCTGAAGGGAAATTTAAATTTTCTTCACACACACGCAATAATGATGACGCAGTTTGAAACCCCTAATTTAAGTCCTTGGCACATCACAAAATTATAGCAGTGGATTTGGCTTACCCTCGATTTGCTTAGTTGGTTTTTCAATAACTACTTGGTTTCATTCTTCTGCTTTCGAGACCTTTTAAAGAAAACATATTCTTTTTCAGCTTCCAGCGAGCTCTAAGAAAATGGATTTACATTACTGCTTTCTTTCTGGATACGTATTAAGATAAATTCCTGCTGTATATACAACAGTTTTGTGTCACCTCAAAGTTTATTCCATTGCTATAATGGTCACTGACAATAATTACACAATATTAACTATTCAAACATTAACAATAATAACGAGAACAGTGACAGCAGCGACAACTACTATTTAACATGTATTTACGTTAGAGAATTTGTTTGCAACGCCTATTTAAAAGTACCTTTAAAAAAAAGAAAACATGCAATTTTGTTTTTAACAAAAAATTATATAATGTTGAATATAATCGTTGAATTTGTTATAAAAAACAGAATCAGATCGGAGTGTACTTTTTTTGAGCCTTATCAAAAAATAAAGTTGATACCTTCAAAGTGCCAAATCAGAAAGTGTTATTAGTTTTTTGATATTTGTTTAAATAAAGGCAGAAAAAATAAAATTTATATTGTCAAATTCCAGTTTTTCTCAAATATTTCAGACTGGATGTAAATCAGCTTCAAAGAAGACAACCTTTTTCTAATTTAACGCAAGGTGTATGTCCAAGAGGTATGGTCTGCTCATAGATATAAGAAAGTGACCAATTGCTTTTGAATGGGATTATCCAAGGACGGTCATTACTATACAATACAACAAAATTATTACATAAAGTTTCGGAATTTAAATTCAGGTAAAATTGTGGTCCGTAATAGAAAGTAATTTTATACCTACCTGTGTTTAATATTCTTTGGTTTGGTATACTACTTACTTTAAGTCAATTAGTAATCATTCTTATTTCGTGTGTAATGAATCGTGAGCGAATTATGCAGAATATGTGCGAGTCTAGTGTATCTCAGGAGATGCTCCCGCCCAAATGTAGAAAACACTATTCTATTGAGGCTAAGGAAGTTATAAACGATGTTTATTTGACTTTCATTGGGCGTCGTGCCAGCAAGCAAGCATCTTTAGAAGAAACGGCCACATTGACGAAAATTCCAACATCAACTGTATGGAAAATTGTGAATAATCCCATTTCAGCGAGAAAAGAAAGAAGCTATGCTGACATTTTTTCGAGTGTAGATGAAAGCGATCAAAATATAATATGGCGTAAAATTCACCAGTTATACGAGGAACAAAGCGTGCCTACATTAGATATCTTAATTAGGAGGCTTGAAAAAGATGAAACCGGTGTTAAGTTTGGCAGAATCACCTTATGAAAGTGTATTAAACAAATGGATTTTAGATTTAAAAAAAATAGCAAAAGGCAAGTTTTAATGAAATCTTTTAGAATTCGGAAATGGCGACTGGAATATCTACAAAAAATTATTATTTACAGAGAACAACAAAGGCCAATTACTTACTTGGATGAAACCTGGTTCGACACTTATGATACCCCGGAAAAGAGTTGGGTTGACTCAACTGATAAGTGTAAAACAAACGCGCCACCAAAAAAAGGTAAAAGAATAACTATTTTGCATGCTGGCTCTAAAGATGGTTGGATTCCAAATGGACTTTCTCTGTCTGCGAAAAATATTAAAGATTCTTCTCTGGATTACAATGAAGACACCACCGCTGATTTATTTGAAAGTTGGTTTAAAAACAAACATTCCTGCTAATAGTGTAATTGTAATGGACAATGCAAGTTTTCACAGTAGTAAAACCCCTTCCTTATGTGACACAAAAGCAACAATCCAAAACTACATGTATAATAACGACATTGATTTTCACGAAGATTATACCAAAAAGCAATTAATTGAGGTTCTACAAAGCTTGAACTTACAAAAGGAATACGTCTGTGATAATTATGCAAAAAATCTAGGGCATACAGTTTTAAGGCTTCCTCCTTACCACTGTATATTTAATCCCATTGAACATATTTGGCACCAACTGAAATCTGCCGTTCGTCGTAACAAGGTTTTTCCCCGTGTTAACTAAAAAGTCCTCAAACTTATAGAAACCGAAGTTTTTAACATCCCTCCACAAAGTTGGGCAAATTCTGTTTAAACATATAGAAAAAGCAGAACAATCGCAAATAATATAGAACAAATAATAATTAGAACAGGCGATAATAGCGATGGTGATACTGATATATTATGTGAATAATTTTAAGACATTTAAGTAGTTAATTAAAATAATTTGTAATTTTTAAATTTAGATTTAGATTTAAATATAAATACATACATAAATAAATAAATATTGTTTAGTATCTTTCCTAACCAAACCCCAAATAATTAAATTCTAAGCAAAGTACGGACCTGTTCAGCCATATTTCATTCTTACAGCTTGCCCGGGTCTTTCCTTAATTCGTATCAGTTTCTTGAACAGACTTTATAGACATTCGCTTACATAGGATCCTTATCTTGGATACGCTGTATAGTTACCGGCTTGGCTATCTTTCCTTTAAATACTTTGAAACCTTTTCACCTGAAACGGTTGTTGATTACTGTGTAGTTTTGTCGGCCACAATGTTTCTCGATTCGCAGGATCAAATCGTCGCGTGCCTTTGCGAATTCGTCGAAGCTAACCGGACCGAAATATGTTCCGGCTGGAGGCCTCTGTTCGGCACTCTCCGCGTCGCAAACGCGAAGAATAACGCTTCCGCCATCTTGGACGTGTTCAAAATATTCCTTTCCACGGACAACACTTTGGTATTCGCCAACGCCGCTCTGGACTACATACTGTGTCTCCTGTCGCACATCAAAAACTGCGACTCTGACGAAAACAACGAAAACTTCAACCAAACGGGACCAAACGAACGCGCCAAAAAATCACCCGCTCTATTCGATAAGGACGTCGAATTTCCGTCGAAATTACTGGCCGGATCGACGGACCTGTGCATCGAATCTCTAAAGTTGCTGCAAAACTGCGCGGAAATACTGTCCATGATGTACGACATGCCTAAATGTCCGACGTTCAACTTCACCCACAGGGTGAACGTCGATACCGAGCCGCAACTAGTCGATCCGATCATCAAAAATTCAGACATCGTTAATTTTGATAACGTGCAGGACGATTCCATAAGCTACGAGGCCTTATCTATAGCCGGCGACGTCAGAAAGTGTGAAGAAGAAAAATTGACGCTTAGCGATTTGGACAAGCAGAGCGGAGTGTTGAAGATCTACTACATCCTCGTTGAAGGTCTATCGACGGCGGTCACGGTATCCGCTTCTAAAAATCAACCGTTCATCATCGAAACCTTGTTCAAACTTCTGAGAGATTTGGTCGTAAATCCCGGCATCAAGTTCGGATTCTGTTGCCTCAACCATATCGTGTTTCCGATGATCCAGAACTGGTTACGCCAAAACACTAAAATCCAACAACCCGGAGAAGTCTGGCAGAATTTCAAGCACTGCTGCGGCTTGGCCTGCGAGTTGGTCGTGGACTTTCTTCACGAAGTTAAATCGGAAAGAATCGACAAGGAAAACCCAGCCGCGACCCTGGCTTTAAAGCAGCTCCTGCTGGTGCTGATCGAGTGCGTCGCTCAGCCCTACGAAAACGTAGCCAGACTGGGTACTTCGTGTTTTCGCCACGTCATACTCGGCCTAGGGAAGATTCTGACGGATCACGAGTGGGAAGTTTTGGTCACGGCGTTGCACAGGGCGTGCAACTTAAGCCTGCGACCGCTCTACCAACTTACCCTCGCGTTTAAGGAGAATTCGGACAGTTTTTACGGAGATGTGGCGACCGTGAAAGTCGCGGCGCGCAGAGATAGCAGCGTCGCAGAGAACGAAAGGCTTTACGAGCTAGCCCAGCAAGTGTTTCTCATGCCATTCCAAAGAAGTTGCAACAAATGCACAGGTAATGCGTTAAATCATCATTAACCTGTTTAAATTTTTCGTAATTAGTTAGTGCTTCTCATTGCTTAAATCGAAATTTTAAGCATTATTTTGAAAATAAATAACAACTAAAAGATTTTCACGAAATTATATATTTTTACATGACAATTTTTTCGACAACACCGTGTCTTTATCAAATGTAATATTTACAAACTATCTGTTACTATATATACCAAAAAATGACCATAAAACAATAATTAATGTTGTTGTTCCGAGAATTTAAATTCAATAAAGGAGAGGTATTTCAACCAGATTTATGAGATTTTGGACATTCGTTTTATTGTTTTTTAAAAAAATTCCTATTGTGTTGTTAGTTCTGAAAGCTATTTTTAAACCACATATTGACAAATGTTTTGAAACTTTTTCACTAGATTCTCCTATGTATGTAATTGTTTTAAATTGTTCGTGTTCTGTATTAGGTTTTGGATAAATAGAGCTTATTGTTTTCTGGATTTGTTTTTCATTTATAATTTTATCTATAATGGAAGGATTGTAGCCGTTGTTCAGTGCAATTTATTTAATAATATTAAGTTCTTTGTTGTAATTTTCTGTTGAGAGTGGCCTATTAAGAAGTCTATGTCTAAAAGAGTGAAATGCAGCCATTTTGTGTGTATAAGGGTGATTTGAGCTTTTATGTATGACTGTGTCCGTGTTTGACGGTTTATGATAAATTGAAAAATCTAATTTGTTTTGCGCTTTCGTAATAGTTAAGTCTAAAAAATTAATACAGTGATCCGGTTCAATCTCGATAGTGAATTTTATACGATTATGTTATGACATAATAATTACGTAATCGTATAAAATTCACTATTCTCATTTAAAAAATATACTTTTTATTTCGTGAAAATCTGAACTTTTAGTTCTTATTTATTTTGATGAATGGATTTTCATCAAGTAAAAGCCACCTCAGTTCAAGCATTATTTTGGTTTAACTATTTTTTATTTAGGTTAGGTTTTATGCCAATCCAGACCCAATTTCATGTTACTTTTCTGGATTGGATAGCTTTTATTGACGCTTGACTGTCTGCGTAGATAGCAATTACTTTATTACGAATCTTTTTCGCCTTCGTTTCTCTTGTACAGTGTTTTATAGCGGTAATCACTGTTTAGAACACTGTTGCTAGCTTACCCATCGGAATAGACATTTTTATGTTCATTCTGGGTTTATATGTTTCAACCTGTACTCCTCCTTCGGTATTTGAGTCGCCTGTGTATCAGATTATTTCTAGATTCATCGGTGGTTCATTTTTTCAGTTTTTTCTGGTTAAGATTTGAGTTCTGTAGTGTTTAACAAAGCAATGTAGTACTACTGCCCATGGGTAGTCCTAGGACTAAACACTGTCCTTATCTTCTTGTTGAGCGTAATATATTGCTTATATTAAGAATATGCAAAGAATGTCATTTATTTTTTTATATTTAACAGAAACTAGATAAGCTTCTCAATTTGTTTATATTCAATGTTATTATAGCACACATTTGATAGGACAAAAAAATCAAACGTTTCTAACATCTGGCAATTACCCAAAACTAATGCGTTTGCAATCAACCTAGAAAATAGAAAAGTATTTTATTTAAGCTACCAAATTACAGAAAATATTTTAATTGAAACCTAACGTTTCATCTTAAATGTAGGAATAGAGTTTAATTTTTTGGCCAATTTCATCCAGGTTCCATTTATTTCGATGGCTACTGAGTAAAACGTCCCTCCTTTTATACTTGCTTTGTTCTTGTCAAATAATTGTCAACAGTCAAAGTTTCGTAAAAAACTATTAACGATTTTGGAAAGGAGTTATTAAAATCAATCAGTTCTAATAATACTTTTTCATTTAAATTATTTTTTATAACTATCATTTTGTTGGTTGCTTCACATTTGCGGTGTTGCCAGCTTCTGGTTTTTATTCAAATATACTTAAAAAATTAATTTAAACAACTCTTATTCAAATATAATATTATTTTTATCAATTTGTCTAACGAACAATTGAAATAGAAAAATAATCTTAACTGCCTTAAAAACAAGTTGTCAACAGTTGCTTTCGGTTCTAATAGGTGTATATTTAATTGGGTGTACTATATATGGGTTTAAAAATGTTTAATTGACCTAATTTATTTTCATTCAGGTAAAACATGTGAGTGCGATAAGGAAATCTCTATCGACGACAGAAGTTACGTTTTTCTGTTATATCCATTCGATTCAAACACGATACTCAACCCAGACATGTACACAGTGAGAGTCCCTTTTCGGAACCTAGTGGTCGGGATTTTAGCGCACCAGATGCTTATTCAGACGATATCAAGCGCGCTGCTGCAAAATCTGAACCACATCACTCCGATCCTCAACATCCTGCAGATAAATTCCTGCAGCCTGCGTGGGATACTGACCAAAGTGAACGCGAAGCATGTCAATATCCTCCTAAAATGCCTCGAGATATCCAGCGTCAAGGCGAAAGAATTTGATGTGAGGCCAGGTTTAAAATTTTTGGCCCAAAAGGTGGGAAACCTGAGCAAGGCCGCGAATCTGTACAACCAAGCAAATACTTCGGAAGTGGTACAAATTATAGTGCTCATCGAATTATGCCTGGACGGTATCGAAAAATATTCAATAAACCCTAGGTTGATGAAAGATATTCTCGCTAGGGAGAGCAAGGAAAAGTACAAGACTGATCAGAACTACGTGGAGGCGTTTTTAAGGAAGTTGCACCGCAAATGGGAACGGCTGTGTGAATCTTACGTCAACTTGACCATCAACATACCAGAGGTGACCGAAGTGGAAAGTGACGAAGATGTTATTAAGGAGCCTGAAGAAGATACGTCGAAAATGGAATACCGTCGCGATTTGGAAAATGACAATCTCAGCACCGTCAGTACAGACTCTGAGAGTTACCTCGAGAGAGAAACGCTCCCCAGTTTACACGTGGACGACAAAATGTCGGTGTCAACTTGTGCTAATTCTCCTAAACAAAAGTCCGATAACGGATATTCGACTGACGACGAGACCAACGATATGGCGGCCAAACGGTGCGAAATTGTCTTCGAGAAATACAAAGTAGAACTGAACGCTATAAAGTATGATAGAAATACGCTACTTCAAATGCGAAAATCGACTATATCCAGCGACAACATTACGTCGAGCTGCAGCGGATCCAGCGAGATGACGAAATCGAGTAGTTGCCAGTTATGGACCGAAGCTGGAACAACGACGAAAATTCTCCTGAGCAGCACCAGTCCGAGGCTCAACCCGTTTATGGCATCCACTCTTCCACCTCAACAACCCATCCCACCGGAAATTCAACAGCAAAGAGCCATAAGCATTTGTAAGGTGAGTTGAATTTGCTTAATGTAGTCTCATTTATTTCTTTATTCAGCCAACATTTTAATTTGTACAATTCTAAAGTAGTTAATAATACAGCAAGAAAGAATACAATACCAAATTTTAAAGATGGAGGAAAAAACGTTTTTAAAGAAAAATCTGGGATCCATCAGTTTCATTTTCTAAAATTACATCTGGTGATAGAAAAATGTCATCACTCAGCCTTCTACTACAATCTCTAAATTTGTGATACTTCATTTGAAAGGTATTTTCATTGTTTATTCAAAAGTGGTCACCTTGGAAGTTTGTCTATTACATCCATATCTGGTTCTGTTTCTTCTCAGTTGCCAGAGCATCTAGATCCATGTAGACTCTACTACTCCAAAGTCAAAATTTTTTGTCCGAGCGAGTTTTTAATAAACGAGTGAGTTAAAAAGTTTTTCTGCACCCGTCTCTAAAATACCTAAATACCCACCGATCTAGCGTGCGGGAAGCGTCCCGGAAATGTCCGAAGGGGCTCGGATTCGTAGGAAACGAAACTGACGTGGTAAAGTGACGGTTGCCGCAGGCTGGATCGGTGTGTAATTAGGTTTCGTTTCCCACGAATCTGAGCCACTTCGGACATTTCCGGGATTTTACCGCACGGATTTGTGAGCAATCGTATGTTTTCCCAGAGATATTTCCCACACTTTGAAATTTGACGTTTGTCAATTCTGACGGTCGTGTCAGTGAATGTATTCATGTTGTTTTGCAAAAATTAGCCAAAAACTAACGGTCGTAGAAAAAGTATACTATGCAACACGTTCGGTAAACTTTTTAGTCACTCGTTTATTAAACAAAACAAAAATCTTTAGTGTGATATTTTAAATGCAAATTTGTGTCAATTCTTAACCCACACTTTATCTAATATTTTCAGTTCAGAAGTTAAACATGTTGTGACAATACTGCAACAATGTCAAACTTAGATAAAGTTTACTGAAAGAGGTGCTATCGTTAGAAAGTAGTTGACCTACCTGTGTGTTTAAAATTCGAATTGTAGTTACTTTCAGGCAGTTGTTGACGAAGTTCGTTCTTGAAAATGACTAGTGCTTCTGAATTTGTTGCTGAGAAATGGACTAGTAAAACTGCGGTTACTAAATAAATATGGGAAAGTTTTGTCCTCAATGTGTTCAAAATATTTCCAAGTAAAAATTCTACATTCGGAATTGCAAGAATAGTTTTGATTAGTTTTGATTATAAATGTGTTCCAAAAAGGCTGTAGTAGGTCAACAATAAAACGAGTTGTGCACTTCGCCATCAGGTTTCCAAAGAGAAGTTAGAAGAAAAAATGTAATAAATAAGGATGAAAAGACTGCCATCAAAAGATTAATACTTACTTCACTTATAAATGAAATACCATCCCGAAAAACAGGAATGTCTGGACGAAACTTGTATAAACAAGTATAAACCGTTGGTTAAACATGGCAGGATGAAAATTTAAAAATCGCAAGCCAACCTTTCATGGAAGGCTGGTCCACTGGAATAAAAGCAAAGGTTAAAGATTAATAATTATTCACACTGACATCAAAACGGAACGAAAGACTAGTTCCAGCAGACCCTATTCCTTCTGGATTATGGTGAATCATGCATAATTCCAGCTACCACACCAGAAAATCCAAAATAAGACACATACATATTCTTGGGGTGATGGGTGCAAGTAAAAGGGTTTGTATTTTTAAAGTGAGGAACGTCGAAACCCTCTTGCAAATCGGAATAATAATAGTGAAAAATGGAGTAATCGAGCTGAGCATGCCATTGAAATAGAAGAAAAAATGCGAGAAGCTGATAACATGCTAAAAAACATCCTAGAGAGAGAGAGAGAGTATTTTTTATCTGGACAACTCATCTCTCTCACATCTCGTACAATGATGACTAAAATTTACAAAACTTTTTTTAAAATAATATTTATTACAATTGAATTTATTATAAACCTTCATTGCAGTTTATGTGAACTTTAGGCTACAACCTTTAAGTTGTCCACTCCGTTTAATGATCCCTGCCATTAAGAAACGAAATATACATTTTTTTTACATTTAAAATAAATAATTGTTTAAATATCTTATGTTGGAGTAGCGTGTTTACTTTGGAAAAAATATACTAAAATAAATATTCGATAATTGAATAACAAAAAAAACATCGAAGGGGGTTTTTTTTTTTGGTAAATTTGTTTTAAAATTTCGTTATTGACTGTGATGATATATAAAAAAAATCAGTAAAATTTATGTAAGGCTTATATAATTTCAGGATGCGGAGGCCTATAAAACTACTCGAATTGAAACGATGGAGGCGTGTCTAGAACTTCTGAGTAGTTTGTCGTCCGAAAAATTGGCGCCCCTGGCCACCATATTGAAGCAGGGAGCGGTAATGCTGATAGGCGCCCAAGACGAGAAAATTAAGAAAACCGCGGAAATTTTACTACAACGCATGAATATCTCTTACGTGGATCACGATAATTACTAAAACAATTTTATCCCTATGTATATTAATGTAATATTTCATTTAAAAACAGAGCGTGGCATTGAGACGCATGTGTAACGAACAGTATTTTATTTGAATAAAGCATATTTAAGGAAACATTGAGTATTTTACCACCAGTATGTCACTCTATATGTGGGATAAACGGCTGGCCAACCCCATCCCCACGGACCCCAACCAAACCACTGCAAGAAAAAAAAAATATACCTATCCTACGAAGAAATTGCTTTCGGTAAAAACATAGAGAGGTAATTTTTGCAAAATTCGAACCTTGTATTTCCGTTATCAGTCAAGTTACTGAAAAAAAATGCAAATTTCCCTAACGAGTTTTTTACTAAATTTATAAAGCACAGAAGTATTTCAAAGCGACGTTATGTTATTTTTTTCAAACAGTTAAACTTGTTACTGAAAATTGAGCTTTCGTAGATCTAAATTTCAAATGTGATATTTTTAATAAAAACGAAAATGCTCCAAATATTTATTTAAAATGAGCTAAACTCTATTTTCATTTGCATAGGTAATTATCAAACTTTGGGCTACCTAATTAACTATCTTAACTATAGTGAACTGTATAACGTATAACGTTAAAATTGCCAGTTTAAAGAAATTAAAATAAATATAATATGAATAATAAATACACTTATTGGCAACTAAGTAAGGCTGTGCGTCAACCCAAATGGGGTGGAGATTAGATATTTATATAGACATCAATCTCTAACATTTGGCAAATACTTTATGAAATAACAAAAACAAATGATACTAGAGGTTGAGATACTTGCACTTTTTGCATCTTTTGTCTGTTTTGTACAAAACATACATCTTTTCTAATAATAGAGAATGTATTGCATGTTACTGCCAAAAAAAGAGCCTGTGCTGCCCTTTTTGACAATGTAGAGTTCGCCAAACGATATTCCGTTTTTACGACATAATCCGGTATTTAACTTTGATAAATTTTTATGAAGGTCTAACTGGAATTCCACAACGACGTTCCAGAACCGTACTTCGATACTTCGTGCATACAAATGCTGAAAGCTGACGGATTTGTTTCATCGATGAGATTCCTTGATTATTATTAGTCTATGCAGTGAAAAATTTTAATCATTCTATTGCCAAAGAACTAAATTTCAGTTTCTTCTTAAACTGGATTTCAAATATATCCATATCAGCGCTATCGGATTAAAATTTCTGTGATATGGTGGAAGACGGACAACGAAAAATTTTTTGGAGTCATTATGTTAAACCCTTACATTAGAAATTAATTTAAGCTTTCTAATGTGTTTTTAATATAAGAGAGCAACTCATGAAATGGACAAATTGAATTTGAAATTGAGCTGCCTCAAGGAGGGACTGTTTTAGGAGGATTTATGAAAACCACAACTAATATGAATTAGTATAACAGTTCAATCAAATAAAATTTCCCTAATCTTAAAATACAACAGTTTGTACGGCACAGTTCTTGTCGGCTAACATGTTAAATACGGCCCTGGCTTGTGGTACACGTACTGAAAAGAATGGTCCTTTCGGCTTTACAACAGGCGGGTCTCAAACATTTTCCGAAGTCAAAATTTTAAAAGCTTATAAAAACGGTATATCATTGGCAAAAGTATACGTGTTTATTACATGCACAACCAGGCCTCAGGTACTACTTTCTTATGAATATACCCTCAATAAAAATCCGATACTTCAAAAGGGTGGCAATTTTGAAAAGTTCTTGTGTGCCTTGTTTTGTATGTGTCTGTCTGCCCAGTGTTTGTTAAAATCCAAAAACTGTTGTAGCATTGTTGTTGCATATTTCGTGGATAAAGAGCTATCGGGAATCCACTTGGGTTGATACCAATTTGTTTTGGACAGCTTGTTCGAAAATTATAAAAGTATAAACTATTTCTTCACTTTTTGTTTTCAATGTATTCAAATTTTGGCTTTTTATCAATTACGTATTCAAGCACATTATTGGTAGTTAATGTTAACAATTTTAAAGTATTTATAAATTTTTGGTACTCAATTATTTTATAGTTAAAAAAAAGATATATTATGTTTTTTGGTATAAGTACATTGCTGCTTTTATAAATTATGTGTTCAAATAAATTATTGGTAACTTACATGTTAACCTTTTTGAATGTATTTACAAAAGTTTTCTACTCAAATATTTTATTTGGTAGAAGTAGGAAAGATTTTTTAAAATTCTTTTTTTTAGCGAATGTAAATCCAAAATAATTATTGCTTTTTTTTTGATTTGACAGATTCATGTCAGATTAGCATGTCAAATCTCACTCCCAGCAAACAGTAATTAAATAGTCTTAAAGAAAAATCAAAAAACAGCAAAGAAGCCTAATTCAAGGAGGACTTACGTAAGGTATTCATTGGAGTCAATATACCACTTAAAAATCTGTTCAATTTTCACAAAATATTGTAAACTGGATGAGTGAACTGTGCGTATAATCGCAAATAACATATTGTCACTGTAAGGTTTTTATGTTTTGTAATGTTCTATGAATATGTGCATCTATGTGCTTAATTATAGAAGAAAAGTGCTTTATTTTTCATATAATAAAAATGCATATTTGCATTTTTTGTTTATTTCGATGAATATGTTCTGAAGATTTTATGCATTTAATTACGCACATTTTGGGAGCTTTGTGTCGCTTGCATTTTATCCTCTTTTTACTTATCACAAACAGGATTTGATTAATTTGACAAAAATAAATGGATGTGGTTGATTAGACTTTCTGGGTCCCAAAAATAAGATTGATAAAATTGTCAACTAAAACACACTTACTACAAAAGGTTTTGGATTCGGTTTGGGTTCTGGATTAGGACTGGGTTCCGGATGCGGTGCTGTCATTGCAATGTAACTGCACAACGCCAACGTTGCTAGGAGGAGAAGGACCTGTGAACAATGGTAATTTTATAGGGCCACCGCATCACATTTCAAAATGGTGATTAAAATTTACAAAACTTTTTTTTTAATTATAATATTTATTACAATTGATCTATTTTCAAATTAAGCTTACTTCTATATAACATAACTTTCTACTAAAGACAACAACTTTTAACGTCCAATGTATTGCGTGAAAACAATTTAGAATAAAATTTTCTAACAGAATTTTAAGTAATTTACAGAGCGTTCCATTTAAAAAAATTAAGTCTTGTATGTCAGGTAAGAAACAAATAAGAAAGAAAACGTCACAAGGCTCAAGTGAAGTAATAAAATAGAAACATCGGCACTTCTGCTGTACATACTATTCCGTAAGACCTACCTTGTACATTTCAGCGAACCTTTGTAAATATCTGCGTGCCGGAAGAAAATTTAAGTCTTGCAGTGAACTCGTTACGACAAAATAAAACACATTATTAATAATTCCGTTATTAAATATGGGAAAACCGCTACGACTTTGGACTCAGAAATAACGTCTATAAACGTCATTCGATTTTCCATTCGGAGTTACAGCCGATCATTACTACAAAACCAAATGCTTCTCCGATGCAAAATAACAAACTGTAAAAAAAAAACATTTTGATCGTTCATTTCTATATAATTGTTTTCGTATTTCCGTATCTAGCCTAATGGGAATAATTAGGGATATTCGAAATTTGATTTCGTAGGTCTTCGTTCTACCGTATGAAAGTAAAAAAACTAAAAATTATCAAAGTTACCTACTAAAAAATTAATTAAAATGTGCCGTTTAAATTTCAAATTAAAATTAAAATAATAAATACAGTCAAACTGCGATACGTCGAACTGCGATTCGACACATGAAAATTTCGAGTTATCAAGACTTCGAGTTATCAATAAAAACGACAAATGCATGTATTTTTTTGTGAATGAACATTTATTCATTCATTTTTCAAAATACGTTACATAAATGTCCTAATATCTATGACTTTTGAACAAAAAACGAAAATTATGAAATAGTAGTACATATGTATGTATGTATTTACATAATATATGTACATACAAATGTATTGTTTATGTACCCAGTATATATAAACGTAGTATGTATGTACATATTAAAGTTTACTCTTTCACTGTAAAAAAATTATTTGTGACTGACGACGGGATTTCTTATTTTGGTTTTCAACAAAAGCTTAAATTTTATTTAAACAATCACTGGTTTTCAAATAGGAACGCAAGACAATCAACCAATTTTCAACCAATTCATTTGAAGATGGTTGCTGAGAATCATCTTCCAATTCCTCTTTCATCGTGTCACTTTCGCAGTCATCTTCGATGTTTAAACTGTACCGGTTCGGATCTGCTGGACTCGATAATATCTTCATCAGTAGGAAACTCTGAAGTAACAATATCCTCATTCACATGTATAAAATCGTTGATGGTGCTACCTTCTGCTATACCTCTAATGTTTGTCCAAGCTTTAAACTCGATTTCTATTTGGATTTCGTCTTCACTCTTTTCTTTCATTCGTTCACTTAGGAAAATCAAGGGAATCTCAGCTTCTTCTTCCCATTCAGAATACTGACCAAAACCGGCTTTTTTAAAAGAATTGGAAATTGCTTCAGGCTTAACGTCGATATTCCATGCGGTAGTTACACAATCTATTGGTGTAATGTTATTGTTTTTGCTTTCTTCGAAACGTTCCATTGCGGTGATGACTGAATGTTTATTTTTCAAAATTGTAGACACTGTACTTGCGGAAATCCCATACTTGCCACTTCTTTTATAACCTTGAATTTTTGATCAACAGACAAAGCTTTTAAAGTCCGTTTTGATGACATATCAACAAATGCAAAAATCCCAAAATGTCTTTAATATAATGTGTAAACTGAATAGGGACAGTATTTTTCACTTAGTATTAACTAGTAAGTCATACAAGCGAACTTAGCAAGCACAGAAACTGAACTGCTTGCATAGATACATTAAAAAGACAGGTTAAGATCGGTTGTAATTAGGGGGTTCCCCGAGAAAATTCGACTTATCGAAGTTGGCACCAAATGTTTCGTTCGAGTTATCAAGATATTCGAGTAACCAAGACAAACTAACACGCATTTTCTACTTTTGACACTATTTCCAACCAATTTGGTTCGACTTATCAAAAATTCGAGTTATCGAGAAGTTCGACTGTATTTTCAGTGGCCCAAATTTTTGAAAAAGTGCAGTCATTTATTGGAATTTATTGTATCTTGAGTATAACCTGCTCAATTCACATGATTATTAATTTTAAAAAATGCTATAAAGGATGTTCTATTTTAAAAAGTATAATAGCTTCTTGATAATTAATCAATGATAAAAATACTTTGGTTGCCTAAAATGCAATATTTTCAAAAACGAAAAAAATCAAAGGAAAATCCGTTTATGCGACCTTTTCTAAAAAAAATATTTTTTGAATAGAACACACACACACAAGTATATTTGTTCACCAACCGATTGTTTTAAACATAAAAGTTTAGATAAAAATCAACACAAAACAGGTATATAACATAATTAATAAAAGATTTAGGTTTTTGTAAGATCTTTCGGAAAAAATAATATATATGGTGTGCCTTTTAAGGAAATCAAGATTTTTTAATTTAAAACTATCCAAATATATTCGTTTATTTCGAACACCCTGTAGTATCTAATTCATATTTCATTGCATATATTTTTCACATCACTTTCGTATAACGCTAATTTCAAATCACGTTCAGTAAACTTTTTGAGGCCACTCGATCAAATAAATCAAATAAGGTGGTGACCCAAATGTCATTTAGCATATTTGAGTCACAAGTTTATTTGGCACGAGCGGAGCGCAGTGAGGCAATTGGGCATTTTAGAAAATAAAGGGGATCATACACAGCATCCACGGTCAAAGAGAAGCGTTTTTAATGGTGTCCAGAAATTTATTAAGCACTTGGTTGATGCATTCGAACACATAAAAGATGTCCCAGAATAAAGAAGTTAGCTAGTGTCGACTTGAATATGTTCGCATATAGGGAACATCTCCTGTTTTCTTATCTTCTTGTCATTTTAAAGAACAACGTTAAATAGCAATTTATGGTCTAGGGACGACTAAAAGTCGACACTTTGTAAATATAAGTTTGAAATGAACGAAACTAAGATTTGTGACTTGCAAGATTAAAAGAAAATAAAACGCAAAGCGAATCAAAATTGTTGTATTATCGAATAAGTTATCTAAGTACAAAAACGCTATTTTACTTCTATTTAAAAGGACATAACACATTCGCACCCTTTTTAGCTGCAAGATATCACAGCGTCAAATTATACAATAATTATACAAAGCTTACACGATGTTTATAAAATTCAGACGGGGCTGTTAATACTACTAATTGGAACCCGACACTTGCAATTACCGGTGTTATTGATTTTATGAATAAAAAACGTTTAGTATCGACGTAATTGAAATTATAAACAGATTCTAGTCGGGAAAACCAATGACGCAGTTTCAAATTTAAATGAAAATGTGTTGCAGTTAAAAAATAGGTTATAACAAATAGTTATAATTAAATTATATTTACAGTTTTCAGCATTAATTTTTTTTTAAAGCATTTGTTTTCATTTCATTCTTTTCTTTTTTACTATTATGTGTCTCCATCCATTTCGACTCAATTCCTTGATTTTATATTTCTACAAGGCCTTTCGGCACAAACGCGCCTAATAGGACACCATTTGTAAAAAAAATATGGTATAAACATAAATTATTAACAAAAAAAATTGTTTAAATATTCAGATTTTTTTAACACTTTTTTTTATCATATGTACAAATATAAGGTACTTTTTAATGCAGTATATATATATTTTTAAAATTCTGAAAGAGATATCCACTGAATATTTTTAAAACTATACTGACTCTTCTAAAAATAAAATTATTTTCGAAATTTATCATTTCTATGCCTTCCGAACATATAATTACTAAAATGTAATGCGCACTTAGTTGTTCTCTGTATATATGTGTAAATTAGTTCATATTTTGACCATGTTCTTGACTTTAAACGCTTTTAATAAGCTATCCAATTTTTATTTAAAATTGTAATAATTAATGACCCTTCATAATTATCTTAAGCCTTCGTTTTGCGTTTTGCGAAGTGTTAGTAAGCGATAGTGGAAACTAAAGAGATAAACATAATTGAAACCGGTTTTTGCATTTGTAGTTTTTGATTTATTTATTTTACGATGGTTGTAGCCCACCCGCTAGAATTTAGGAACACGAAAAGGCGAATTAGAAACGAAGACAACGCGCGATACCAATCACTCGACAATTTAACTTTTATCATTAACCACATCCTTCTTGATTTCAGTGTTTTTCATGAGCGGTTTGAGTTCGGTGCCTTGCTCGATGTCCGAACTCTTGCCGTTGGAAGACGAATGGTTTTGGTTATTACCCGTTCCCCTATTAGCTGATTTTCGCTTTTTCACATAGTTGTAAGCAAACGCGGCACCGCCTACTGCCAGTACTACCGCGAACAAAACAACGAGCACGGTCGTGTCTTTTCCTGCCTTCACTATGTTCCCGGTAGATTCCCCAGTGCTTGCTTCAATATCGCTTTCTTCTGAAACAATTTAAACACTTTTAATGAAATTATTTTTCACTTGGACTAGAATAACCAAGAAAATAAAATAGTCAAAATTCGTATTTTATACGCATACGTACTACTAATTTTGGGACTGGTCAATTAACAGATCAATTGACCGTCGATTGACCACTTCTTAATTGACTAGTCAAAAAATTTTTCAAAGAAACTTCCACAGTCTACTTTTTACAAAACTTCTGGATTGCTCCTGCGTCGGTTTTTGCTGGAATCCTACACTTGCCACTGTGGTCCTTCCTTACATTCAGAACAAGTTCTAAGGAAGTATAACGTCAAAACCACTTGTCCAAAAATCTCTCAACATCTTCGGTCCGTCAGAGACAAAATTCAATTTGAGATGCCAGGAGTTTACAGCATTCCGGCAAAGAATACATTGGAGAGACGGGACGAAAAATATCAACTAGGCTCAAAGAACACGAACGAGCCTTACGACTAAGACAAATAAACTCATCGGCTGTTGCCGAACACACTCATGAAACCGGATATAAAATTTTACTCGATAAAACTAAAATTATTGCATGTAATCGGTTCTTCTACTAACGAAAAATCTGAGAGTCTGTAGAAATCTATAAACAACCTAACAATCTTAACCGCGACTCATTTCTCTACCTGTTACCAATATGGGAATCAGTCATCCGAGAGGGTGTTTATGCCACCCATTTCGCCCCCCTCAAACAATATATAAGTAGGTACAGAGTAAAATACGAGCCAGTTTCACTCAAGTTCTGAATACGCCAACAGGAATCCAGAAGTTTTGTAAAAAGTAGTCAAAAAATGTTTTAAATAACATCTTGCAATTGTAGAGTGTCATCTATGATTATTTATTAATGACATGTATTTTATAATAAATTATTATGCGTCTGTGATGTCCAATTTACCTATAAGGAATATCCGAATAGGATACTTAGCGATTCGGGGAATTCCAATATTAATATCGACTCCATTTGGTTCCCAGAATGAGGTGGCGGTGATGTAACGCACAATATTAATAAATAAATATAAATTTAATTGCATTTTTCAAATCAGTTCGGTCAATTTTCATAGAAAAAATTGACCGGTCAATTCCACTCCTTAGCGATGGAGATAGGACAATAAAAAATATTTTCGTCAATTCCTTTTGTCTACTTTTTAATAAGATTTTTTACCAAATTCTTGCCAGTAATAGTTTCCGAGATATCCAGGTACACTATTTATACAATTCTAATTCAACACGGCAGACAGGCAATACCAATTCGCAAGGTAACTAAATACCTTTTTTTCTTTGACCTCTAGAATTGTTACTCTGGATCATAGAAACAGATCAAACCACTGGGCTAATAGAGAACACTTAAACATTGGAGGAAGAAATATCATTAATGTTGAGTTCGAAGTAATGAAGCAGTTAAGGGAATAATAGAACAAGAATAGGAAATAGTGTAATATAGTCCACCGACCGAAGTGTTTGATGACTAATTACGACATTGGGAATTTGATAAGAATATCCTATATTTGAAATTCCAGCTCCTAGATCTTACCTTTGCTGATAATACAGACACTTTTGAACCATTAAAAAATGCTTTCAACTAATAACATGACGTCAACACGACAGTTTCCAGATGCATTGAGTAGGAAGTATTTTCTCATATTACACCCAGATTTTATTAAAGGTTCAGGGAACAAGAGAGTTAAATGTGTGCAGATTGCTGATAAATATTACTATGTGAGATTTTCGTTTGTAGGAAAATAGAAATTTTATCGTTTTTACGGCCTCTATACTCTCTAATAGCGACATGGAATTTGAAATCCGTTTAGACTATAAAACATAAAATAATGTTGTTGAATAAAAGCCGAAATTAAAAAATAAATATAGACGGAACTAAATTTCCATTACGTCAACTTCGCGTCACCAGTTTAATTAACTTCTCAAAAAATTCAAATTAAAACTTACTGGCTCCCTGTGATTGTTCCGAATTCACAGCTAGTTTCTGCAACAACTTTTCGTCGCTTCCTTCTACGTTCGAAACTGGAGATACACTTTGCGGTTCCTTCAGCAAAACTTCCGCGTTGGCACTCTGGTGAGGATCAACGGACTCCTTCTCTTTCTTCTTGTCGGTGCCTACACCGTCTAAATCTAGAGGTAATGCTGGGTCTCCCTTTTCTTTATTATCAACATCTTTCGCATTGTCGCCTTTTCCGTCTAAATTTTGAGACGCGCCCTGTTCCTTTTTTTCATCTTGTTTCTCCTCCGGGCTAAAACTTGTCAACTTTTCTGCGCCTGTAGTGGTTGGTAAAATGGGTTCGTTCGTAACGGATTTAACCTCTACACTAGTTGGAATCGTAGTCTGGTCTTCTTGTTGAGTACTTTCAGCATTATGCACCAATGGAGCAAGGATAACTGTGCTGGTTTCCACAACTGGCAATTGGGTGGTTTTTACACTTTCAGATGCTTCACCGTCTATCGGCAGAAGCTTTTCTTCTCCAGATGGCTCAGGATATACCTGTTTCTCATCTGCTTTTGTAACGTCGCTATTGTTAGCATAGGGCTGAATTTCAGGTTGTGGTTGTTTATCGTCATTTTTTGTAGCATCGTTTTCTTTAGGATTTAAATATGGTTCAATTTCAGGGTGTAACTCTTTCTGGTCGGTTGGGTCCAGGTTCGGTGAAATTGTGGGATGCGGAGGCTCCTCATCATTCTCTGGAAATAAATCGAATTTACTACAATCTACATTGACACGATGGTGAAAAATAAATTCGAAAATAAACCCATATAAGCTGTAGGCACAGAATTTACCTTCTCCGGAACCCTCCACTGCGTCATCCTCGACATCGCGCTTCACAATTATTTGTTCATTAAATTCCAACGGAACAGGTTCCAGAATGATTTCTTCACACGGGAGTTTTGTGTTTCGAAAGAAGAGATGATAATTTTCACACAATGTCGCTAAAATCTGAGCGGCATTATCCGTAGGATCTGATTCTTCGTATTTCCATATGTTCGTCTCCTTAAATACCAGATTAGCGGTCAACAAAACACATTTTTCAACACCTAACACAAGTGATGGAAATATGGTACATTAAACCTTTGACGTAATCTTGAAACTTAAAAAATTAACATTTTAAAACAGATATAGTGATATTGTTGTCACTTTTTCGTATTTTTTGCATATTTATTCCTAGTTCATCTTGTCAAGACTTACCGGAATATCCAACAAGTCTGCTGCGTAAAATGTCCTGAAATAGAAATACGTTTTGGTCATTTGAGTAATGAAAACAAAATGACTATTATTTATATTATTTTTGGCTCAAGATTTAGCAAAATCTTTGATGCCATATAAATTCGAAATTGATCAATTTCGAAAGCATAAAATGAAAAATTGGAAAGATGTTAATGATAATAATTAATAATCTACTATCACTGAAAAAAAACAAAGAAAAGGATAACCCCCTAGGTATTGCCTAGAGACCATCATAATATAAATCACAGGGCGAGGATAATTTGTTGAAGGTAACATACATATTGTAAATAGGTTTTGAAAATGGATGTTGAATGTGGGTAACTGGTAACTGGTAAGAAGGTCTCCCTTACAGCATCGGCACGTGAATGAAATGAATAATTGTGCCAGAAGAAACGAATAATCGATAATGACCTAACTTGTAGAGAAATAATACAGATCCCAAGTTCTTGCGTAAGCTCAGAGGCAGTACAGATGCTTCACATATTGCCACTTTTATGTGATTTGGATTTAATCTAAAACTTTTTTCTTAACGTTCGAAATTCGCAAACTACTGAAATTCAGTAAGATTACAATCCAATAATTTGGGAAAAGTTTAAACTTTTGAGGGATAGTTTTATCATATCTCAATTTTTTTCATTTTTCAAAGATATGTTTAAGGAGAGAGTGAATCACAAATTGGAAAAATTGAAGCCTCCTATGGTAAAATTACATATTTAAGCTCTTTTGCTCGAGACAGAAATTAAACTAACCAAAACTTAAGAGTGAACTCTAAATAGGTTCACACTGACTTTTCGGAATCAACAATTTAATTAAAATTAAATCTAGCGGAAATTTTTCGATTGAAATAAGAAGCAAATAATGGTTGCCCATAAACTGGACTCTTTCCTACACCAATTGTAACTAATCAAAAAACAAGGGTTACACTCCATCCGATTTGAATCTATGACGGCATTTTTTGAGAAGCAAAAAGTGACAGTTAAGCACGGTGACGCACGGAAATGTAATGAGATAATGGCGTAGGTATCAGCTTATTCAGTCAGTGTATTTTTTAAGGAATGTTTCTTCCCAAGAAACCACAAATACTTAACAATACATATTCAGGAGACCACGGGAGCAACTAAAACTGAACTTTGACAGTTTCCACACAGTGAGCGTTAAACAAAGGATAAAGTTAAGGACAAGTTAAGTATGGGTTGCAACTGCTAAAACACACTTATTGTGGAAAAATCATGGAAAACAAAATCTCTTAGACACACACTATGTAATCGTTAAGGAATCGTTTTTATATTTTAACCCAATGGGCGTGCTTTCTGTTTTCGCACACTATACTGTCAAAATTTAATGGTAAGTTTGGTACTCACCGCACTTGAAGTAAAACTATCGTCAGCAGAATATTGGGTACGAATTGCATTTTGACAATCACTTTTACTAACGTATTGCGGACCTTTAATTGTGCAGATTTTTCATGTGATCGCAACTAAATGATACGAGCGTTAAATTTGAAACTGTTGGCTTTTGAGATAAGATAAGATATCACACGTAATCAACGTAGGTACCTATAGGTTTGCTATTTACATTTTCCAATTTGTGTCTGATGTGTTTAATTTCCCGTGAGAGAGAGACGGCATTGAAAAAATTGTGTCTTTTTCGCCGAAATATGACTATCGTTTCCGATAAGTAAACTGACGTTTTTTTCGTTGTAATTTCCTTACATCCGCAGCGGCATCCGTATCGTAGTTACTTTTGCCAAACAGATTATAGAGTCGAGTGTCAAATGCTAACAGAATCTCGCATCGTAAGTCAATTTTTAAAAATTCATTAAAATTTAACAAAACCACTAAATAAAAGCTTTTTATTTTTACTCATATTGTCCTGGATATCCCTTGTTTCTAATTTAGGTATCGACCATGTATACCGGGTGACACAAGAAAGTGGGAAATACTATAACTTTTAAGCGATTTGAAATTTGGAAGGGTTGATATAGGCTGAATGTTCATTTTTTTGACAATATGTAGTCAATGGTTGAGTGGAAGCGACAGTAACTTTCAAATTTTAAAAGGCACAACCTATATTTTTTGCATTTTTGGATTCAGGAGATCATTCTACGTAGGATAGGAAGGCCTTTCTCACTTTTTTTTGCTTTTTTTTTAATTTTTACTTAATTTTGAAAATTATTTCTAGGAGGCTGTGACCATTATAAATACTATTGACCGGGTCACCTGATCATGTGAAAAATTGTAAATGAAACTTATCTTTACTTGTCTAATGGCAAACAGCATTTAATATAATGAACTATTATTTTTTTAGTTTTTTTAAATAGCACCCTAGTGGGAACAAAAACTTTTTAAAACCGGTACTTTTTTTGCAACATTTTGACACCCAAATTTTCAAAATCCATAAAAAAATAAGCTCACAGGAAGGAAAAAAACAGATATGTAAATATATTTTTGTAAAAACATATTACTTAGGCGCCTTTGCTTCTATTCACTATTAATTGTCAAGTCGGTAACGTTAAAAATGCAGAAGAAACTCTCGACAAGCTCATGCAGTGGAAAGAAAAAAACAGATTAATATTTAAAAAGAAATTTGCGGGTTTCTTCTTAGATCCAACAACTAGAATATTTTGTTGAAAGTGGTAAAAGTTGATATGCTTTTGGAATACGGGGATACAGTCAAAAACTAACGTTTTTATAAAAATGTTTTACTTACCTCGTTTTTTCCTTCCGGTGAGCTTATTTTTTAACGGATTTTGAAAATTTTGGTGTTCAAGTGTTGCAAAAAAAGCACCGATTTTAAAAAGTTTTTCTTCCCACTAGGGTCCTATTTGAAAAAACTTGGTTATTCTAAAAAATATTTATAGTTCATTACATTAGATGCTATTTGCCATTAGACAAGTCAAGAAAAGTTTCGTTTACAATTTTTCACATCATCAGGTGACCCGGTAAATAGTATTTATGATGGCAGAGCCTCCTAGACACAATTTTCAAAAATTAAAAAAAAAAGAGAGAAAAACCGTCCTATCCTACGTAGAATGATCTTCTGAATAGAAAAATAGGTTGGGTCATTTAAAATTCCAAAATTTCTGTAATTTCGGCTCAAACCGACATATTGTCAAAAAATTGGACATTCAGCCTATATTAACCCTTCCAAATATCAAAACTGCTCAAGCCGTTTAAAAGCTATAGAGTGTTCCCTCTTCCTTGCGTCACCCGGTAGAACGGAGGACCACATTCTGGTATATGCTGTCGAATTTTAGAAGAAAAATGAGGCAAAAGTACTGAATATTTAACTTAAGTTGATTTTTTATATTACTATCCAAAATATTAGATAATCAACAATATATTACTCATTATTGAATTATATTTCACAAATTTAAATTATTGTTTGTTTGTTTATCATAAAACAATTAGTATGCTATTCCAATGTCATTAGTTATAAAACTTATTTTGTTTAACAATTTTTTTGTTATTGACTTTTCAATTTTTCATAAACAATAAATTTATTACTAGTTCAGTGTATGTGATCAATGGAGTTTTCCCGAATATTTTAAAATCTAGTTTCTAACAAATTTTTACGCCAATGGGTTTAAATGTTATCACAGATCAATAAAATCGTTCAAAAGCATTTTTGTGATCTATCTAATAATGAAAATATTGACTATAACGCCCAAAAGAAAATTTAAAAATCCACTGTATATCTCGAAAACGATTGCAAAAATTCAGTACTGACCCCGTATTTCCAGACAAAAATAGGAAATACAACATTTCTGAGAATTGATCCACATTTTGCGTGCATATTTAAGCTTTGCCCAAAATTCTTTAAAACTTATATTACACGCACTGTATAATAAAACCGAGAACAAACTAAAATTATTTGGAACTCTTTACTATGGAACATATAGATGTATCTCCAAAGCATGCTATATATCAATTATTATTAATTATCATAAAATCGAAAGACGAGCGTTTCATAGTGTGGTAAACGTCATATAAGTCACAAGTTATTTGGCACCAGCGGTGCACAGCGAAGCTTACAAAATATTCTCAATTATATATATATAGTGGTTCACAGAAGCGTGGCAATACAAACATGTATTTTTTAAATGGAACACGGTATTTTACAATTACTCCAAAATTTGTTTATATCAACGTTATTTATTTTGAATTTTTATACTATATTGCCAACTTAGAGGAAAAAACAATATTTTTACCTATATATGTTTGCCTATATTTTAAAATTTGCTGCCTTTATAACACTAAAAGTGGACCTCAGTTGAGTCATATGCGTTGCTGAGGGTTTAGTAAATCGCCTTAGTAATACTTTTATAAATGACCATTTCCAAAGTCTTGCCATCAACTTGACAGTGTTAACTGTTCTCTGATTTTTTAAATGAAACATCATGTAACTTAATTGCTTTATTGTTCTATATTTTTGTGCTTTGCGAGTACTTTATCAGATTATTGCGCACCCTGTATTTATATTAAAAGCAAAGAAGGTATTGGAGATAAACGGGAAACTGAAGATTTTATGCTTTCCGGCGTTATTTGACAACACCGCTCAAAACCAAAGGCACGTTTTTATTGCGACTTTTAGAAAACACGATAACATTGATCTGTCCAGTTTGTGGACGAAAGGAAACCTCTCACTGGCATCTAAAGAATTTGTAAAGTTCATCCCCTACCGAAGAATTGGGAAAATGAGTTCGTGTCAAATTTCTAAGAAGGCAAGATGGAGAGAAAACTAAGTAAAGTTAAAAAGATTTCTCAGAGTTTGTCCTTTTTTGTGGATTTTATGCATTGAAGATGTGCGTGGTGTGTTTTCTATTAACTTCAATGGCTGTGTTCAGAAGCTCAAGCGACTTTCTGTCCTCTAGTGTATCAGGAGCCTTAAAGGTTTTGTAAAAAGTTCTTTTTTCAGTATATATTCGGTATATTTCAAATTAATATAAAATATTTCATGTGATGAATATAAAAGTGACGAGAAGTACTAAAAGCTACTTAAATTAAGCACTGTAAATTAGACCTGTCATTTCAACCCTCTCTTCCATTTTTACGACGAATTCATTGTGTCTAGATCACGCGTGTACTTTGATTTTCTGCACTCCTAGAGAAATTATTTAGACCTTTGTCAAATAATGGCGAATGCGTCGGTCCGCTATAAATCGATGTTCACATAAGTTTAGGCTCTCCTCGAGAGATGTCAGGTTTGCTTTCAAGCTTCTCGTGACGTTCACAATCTATTTGTTCTTTGGAGACATTTCAGTTTTTCATAACATACGGGATGTGGAGAGTGCCGTCCCATCCGAAAACAACAAAAAACTCGTTTTTTGTCGCGATTAACGGCATTTTCACAACGAACGAAATACGTCGCGTGCGTATCGAGTGATCTTGGATGTTTCTCTAAAATAAAACTCTTCCGAACCAATCGATTATGTGATACATTGGGTACGTTTCATCAGATATCTGAATTTTTTCATGTTATGTTGTTACCATTATAGTGGTTAGTATTTGGAGATTTCCCAGTGTCGCTTTGACATATCCGTACAATGAAAGTCGCGCAAATAATATTTTGTGGTATGCTAAACGTCAAGTATGACGTCAATTTCTGACGCCCCCGCTTTTAGTGTCGACGTTAAAAACAATAAAAACGAAAATTCCAATTTTTGTGTGTTTTCTCGACACCTTTGCGGACCGTTTTAGCGCTTGACGTGCCTGCCGTTTTCGTGGGAAGGAAAAACAAAACGTTAATGTTTTCATTGCGTTTTTATTATCGAAGTGAATATGGATCCGTTTTATTTTTATCAAACGTTTTTGAATAAATGATAGCGACCAGAAAAAAGTGGCTTTATGGGTGCAATAATCAGAATAGCCTAAAATTCGCCGATAAAACTGGGAAAGATACATTTCTAGCAAAATTATCGTGAAAGAAAGTAACTCTGGATCAGAAAGTTAATGGACTGGGAGGCAGGAAAACTAAAACGGGCAACACTTTTTATGTAGATGAAAATTTTTAATAGCACCATAAAATTTGGATAAAATAGTACATATTCCCCAACAAGTTTGATAAACGAGTGACCTCACGATTGACCGAGGAAGTGTATCACCCTGTTGCTGGGTTTCTACATATGGTAGAATTGGTAAACTTCAAAATACCATTGTTAAAATCTACCGAACACCCGTGACTAAAATATCGGAATGCCTAAAGAGACTAAATGACACTTTCCGCATCTCTTGGTGCGCGCATAATTAGATATTTTAGAGTGGGGAGTAGTATTTTGATCTTTGAGTCACTGTCATACTTATCAACCTCATTCGAGAGTGATGTGGGGTCTCTTTATTTTCATCGTGTTAACGTGATACCAAAAATGGCCCTTGAACGTCATTCTTAGATGGTACAGTTGATTGGAGATTTTAACGGATTATGAAATACTTTCAAGCGCGTTGCTAGGCCATTCCCTATTTTCCATACTACAGCTGATGGAAAAACATCATTGTCAGTTGAATCCAATGAATGTCATGGAAAGTCTAATCTCATGTCTAATGATGGAGTTAAAAGCTGTTTGTTGGCGGCATGTCATAAACAGACTTTGCTGCTAGATATATAAAAAATGAATAACCATCCGACATCCATTATTTTCAAAACTTTGTTGTCACTGCTGTTTGGAATATATTAATAGTATATTTTCTACTCCTGTCTGTAAAATATCTAATTACACACGGATCTAGCGCGTGGAAAGCGTCACTTTACCACCTTAGTTTGGTTTCCCACGGATCCGAGCCAGATCGGACATTTCCGGGATTTTATCGCACGGGTTTGGGAGCGATCGGATGTTTTCGGAGATATTTCCCACCCCTTGAATTGTGAAGTTTGTCAATTCTGGCGGTCATTCGTGTTGTTTTCAAAAATGTACCCAAAACTACAGGTCGCAGAAAAAGTATAGTATGCAACAAACTTTTTAAATCACTCGTTTATTAAGCACTCGCTCCGCTCGTGTTAAATAGACCCGTGAGTCAAATGCCGTTTACTGCGCAAAACAACACGAATACATTCACTGACATCACTGTCAGAATTGACAAACGTCAATCAAGGCGTGGGAAATATCTCCGAAAACATTCGATTGCTCCCAAATCGACGCGGTAAAATCCCGGAAATGCCCGAAGTGGCTTAGATCCGTGGGAAACGAAACTGAAATGATAAAATGCGCTTCCCGCACGCTAGGTAGATGTTTAATTAGGCATTTTACAGACGGGAGTAGGAAATAGTATATTATGCAACAAGTGCGGTAAACGGCATTTGACTCACGAGTTTATTTGACAGGAGCGGAGCGAGTTTTTAATAAACGAGTGACGTGGTAAAGTGACGCTTGCCGCACGCTAGATCGGTGGGTAATTAGGTATTTTACAGCCGGGAATAAAAAAACAAAGTTTCCTACTTTATTTATCATCGTTATCTATTCTGACATTTCATATTTGTGGTATTTGAATTTAATTGTCAATTATGAAAAAAATTATTCTACTGAGATAGATCAGCTGTGATATTTTTAAAATTAATATACGAAAAACTAGACCACACCAAAATATTAGAAAATGTCATATGCATGAATATGTTCCAATTTTTCCCAGACGGTTTCATTTTCTATTGTCCTTTAGTAGAAAATTTACAAATTTTATTAGTAATTTAAATAAGTATTGACCTACTAAAGCAGGTAGATGGACAAAATTTCAATTAAAGCCAAATTCAAAAATCCGGCGAAAGTATGTGTATATTTATATTTTTTATTTTATAAATGTGAACTCGATTCCTACTTCGTTCTAGTTGGAGCAATTGATTGCTAATAGGCTTCTTATTAAGTGTATATGCACTGGAAAATATTTAAATGGATATGAAAAATATTTAGAATTAGTATATAGATATGCTTAAGTCTTTTTTTGAAATAAGATAAGTAATAAGTTTCTATGTATTGTTGATATGATAAGCGTCTTGGTAAATTCCTAATCGCAAGTGTATCTCATTTGGATAAGATGCTCGATCTCAATTCGATTCTTTATAAGTGATTTGGAATTTCCCATCGGATAAAAAATTTCTCGGAACTTTTTTAGTTGCTTTTAATTGTACTTTCTTATATTGTTGTACGATTTTTCATAAAACTTCCCTATATTCTCAACCCGAATCTTTAACTCCTTTAACAAGCTGAATTCTTCTCCTCACCGGAGTGTCAGAAAATGTCAAAGACGAGAAAAAAGGGAAAGGAAATCAGCAATATTTGGAGGTGACTCGTTTTATCGTTTTATCGTGAATATTGCAGTCTCTCTCACTCCTCATAGCTTTAATTTTGTCGATTCAACACCTATAATGTCGTTATCACCGCTTTATGCATCTATCTCGCAGTGTTGGGATTTTGAAAACAAAGAGGTATGGAATAGCTCACCTTAGGGCAAGTTGCGTAGCGATTTGAAATAGGCTTTATGTGGAAAATTTTTAGAGGGAGATGTTGTGATGCAAATTGTCGCATTCTGATGAATTTTAAATGGCGCACCTTGAATTTGTTCTTAATTTTTGCATCCAGAAGATTATTCTACGCGGGATATTGGGGTTTTCTCGTTTGTTTAGATTTTCAGTACATTTTATTTGATTTTGATATTTTTATTTAGGCGTCTGTTTCCATGTCAGTTCATTATTTTAGAGGTTATTTTACGTTAGAAAAAAAAAGGGCTTGCTTCGCGAAACAAAGCGTAAAATATCATGAATCCAGAATATAGCAAAATGCCGGATGTACCTTTTAAAATGAAAAAAAAAAAATAAATTCACTGCATGTGGTTCATAAATAAAAAATTTAGCCCATATTGAATTTCGGATCACAACGTTGGGCTATAGTTTAATAAGTGTATTGCACTATTGAATGAAAAAATGTACAGGGGGTTTGGGAAGTGGGTTACAAATTTGACATTGTTTTTAATGTATATCTCCCAAGGGCACCCTAGAAAATGAAAAAAAAATGTATTAGGACGACAAATATGCAAAAAATTGAATTTTTCAAAAAATGACTCAATCTTATTTGGGACAAATTGTATAGTGGAAACTGTTTTCTTGATATTGACTTTTACGAGTAGTATAGATTGTCACAATAATAAAAATTCTCACTGCATTCATAAAAACTTTATGGTGAAAAATTTGCCCCTCTTAAAAAGTGATATCTTATCTAAATTTTGAAATATCCGTTTGAAATGTTTTTGACAGTGAAGTTATTTCTCTCCCGTTTCAAATTGTAATTGTGAATAAAAACAATTTTGTGCATGAAAGCATGTGGTCAAAAAACATAAATGCATTAAATCCGAGGAAATATTTCGAGATTCAAAACTATTTTAACCGTGTCCCCGGCTTGCTACCTTGATTCGTGTCCCGGCCTTGCAGCATTTTTGAAATTTTGTTTTGTCGACGTATTTAATATTACGGATACGGAATAGTATGGGCAAGTGATTTGATGCTGATTATTAGATAATTAATAGTATACATTATGTTATCTTTAAGGTTACACGTGAGAAAAAATCACAAATAGACCAACACGTCGCCACTGGAAAACATAAAAGTGGATGGGAGAGAATAAAGAATAAAATTTCGCAGCGTTCTTTGCGACAGTGCATTTCAGCGGCATCTTCAAGAACAACTGATCAAGTCAATTTTCTTTTACACTAACGTGAAGCGAAGTTAATTGCAAATATTCTCCTTAATAAGGTACACAACACTAAATTTTAACAGTTTTTAGAAACATTTTGCAACAAAAATGTACCTCATGAACGTACATTAAGAATAACATATGTAAGTTCCATTTAAAAAAATGTAATTCAAGACATACGAAATCATATTAAAAATCAGCATCTTTATATTATTGTAGACCAGACAACAGATGCTTGTGGTCGCTATGTTGCGAATTTATTAGTGGGTGTTTTGAATGAAAATGTTTTACCAAAATCTTTTTTAATAAGTACAAAACAGTTGGAAAAAACTAAGAGTATAGAAATTGTTCGGTTTGTAAATGAAAGCTTAATGGTTTTTTTTTGCTCCAGATATACTACCAACTGATAAAATACTTCTATTAGTCGCCGACGCAGCAGCGAATATGACCAAAGCAGGGTTAAATTTAATTTTTTTTTATAAAAATTTAATCTACTTGACTTAGCTTAGCTCATGGAATAGAGATGCCGAGGAAATTATATGTTAGTTTTTGTTAAAGCACCTCTTCGACTTCAATTTTATAGAGAAGCAATGCCAAATGTTCCTTTACATCCTGAACCCGTAATTACTCGATGTGAAACGTGGTTTAGCTTATTCAATTAAAACAATTAAAAATTTATATGTAAATGTGAACTTATAGATCAGTTGACATATATCAAAGCTAATTTTATTTTTTAAAGTTTTTTTTATTAGAGACCGAACAAATGTCTTT